TTGACGGGGGGGGGGGGGGGGGGGTAAATGACACCATAATAATAAAATAATAACGACAGCATTGGGCTACCGTTCGCGTGTTCGAAACACTTCACACGGTATGAATGCGCTACGAAACACGAAACGGTGGCTGGTGGTCCCGCCTGTACAATGGCATAGCCGAATAAAAAAGCCAGGGCACAAAACACAAAAAAGCCGAGGGAAGCACACGCTCAATGGACCAAAAGCTCTCTCACCTGGTTGAAGCTGGGGAGGAAGAGCAGTGTGTAGAGGATTAGCTGCCCGGCGTACAGCGCCGAGTTGAAGATCATGTAGCCCAGCAACAGCTGCCGCTTGTACACCCGCGCCGACAGCCAGTGGCGACGAGACTGCTCGCCGCACGAACACGGGCCGGGCCGGTCGAGGAAAGCCCCGGCATCCGCGTCCGCGTCGAAACAACCCGACAAGGAACGGTAGCGGTAGCATGGGTGTGCGAATGGGTCCATATTGTTAGCATCGACCGCACTATCCGGCTGACCAATGAAAAGACGCCAGTCTCGCTGCCGCTGACACCAGAAAGGGCTTCTACAAGTCACGATTTGGGACCCCGTGAGGGGGGAATCGGCATGTGTATGTGTGTGTGTGTTTGGTGGCACGGCGTCGACCGCGCTGACCGGTTGGCCAATCACAGATGTCGACCGTATCGCAGGACAACAAAAAAATGAATACCTATTCGTAGTTCGCGGGCTCCCCGGAGAGGAGGGCCTCGGGGGAGATAGTAAGACACCAACACCACTGCGTGGCGGAATGTCTCTCTTGCGGAATCTCCCGTGTATTGAGAATTGGCGCGCCAACCGGCTGCGAGATGAGAACACATCAGTGTGTGTGTGTTTGTGTGTGTGATTCTGTAGCGTGTGAGCTGTGCGACTCTGGCGGACGAGTCGGGAGCACGAGGTGGAGAAAAACCCGTGGTGCATAGGTTATCTTTGTACGTATTTTGAGGTACATGTGCGGGCTGTTGTGGCAACATCTGTCGAACCTCTTAAGGAACACGTCAATAGACTACCTGCGCTTTCGATCGTACATAGCGGCGCCAAGCGCGGGCGTGTGGCTTCCCCAAAACCCGACTAAAACAAATCGCTCAAAAGGAGGCACACAGGGCACAGGGCCTTTGCGATCAGCACAGCAACCGCCTAAAACCGCAACCGCAACAAAGCAACGCCGACAGCAACCCCCCCAAATCGTTCATGTACCTGCAGGAAGGCCTCCGCCCAGACGACAGCCAGGAGGCTGTAGGCGCTCACGATCATGAAGTCCGGAAGATCGAACAGGACCTACAATCGACGGCCGGTGAGCAGAAGCGACGAGGTCGCAAACAAGAGGTAACCCCACACGGGCAGAGGCAAGCACCGTCACTACGTGGAACCAGAGCGCAGAGTGAGCGCCTCAACACATGACAGCAAGTGTGGCAAGGACCCCATCCTTTCAACGGCCTTCCCTGCCACACCCCTCTTGCGTCGATTCTCGGTGGGCCGCCCTAGTTGGGCGTGAGGTTTTTCGAGAGCAATTCCGCGATGAAATTGACGTGAGACAGGCAAACAACACTCGGACGGGGTTTCGATTGTCCATACGTACACCACACGCAGAGAACCTGCTGCGAAGGGGGGAGGGGGGGTCGTGGATCATGGTGTTTTATGCCATCACGTCTCCGTTCCCCCAAGAAGCGCCGCATTAGAAAAAAAAAAAAACACCAAGTTTCCCTTGCAGCAACAAGAATTGCAGTGGCACAAGAACACAAGCTACGTACCACAACACAGCAGAGCTGGTGATAGCATGCACCACACGGGTCATTTTCATCCCAGCTCAAGTCAAGCAATATGAATGACTTGTGCACGCGAAGCATGCAGGGGACTCGACAAGCCTGAGGCATGGTAGGGTACACACCAGCATGGTCTTTTCATAGAAGCGCTCATCAGCGTCGTTCTGCCAAGAGCGTCTGGACGACGATCCGTCACCGCCAACGCTCCGCATGTTGAGGGCGCCGATCGTCATGAAGCCCATGGTGCGCGTGAGGCACAGCAGCAGCACGCTCATGGCGAACAGCTTCTTGGTGTCGAGGGAGCGGGACTTCCCGTGCAGCATCCTCAGCTTGCCCAGCGCGTGCAGGAAAGTTGCCTGCGTCGTGCGTGGATGAGGAGAGCAAGATTTTGAAACAGCGGCCGCTCCGTGTATCCGAGGTACTTGTACGAGCGAAAAATCATGTTCATCGCCACCCCCTACAATTTACCTCTCACCAACACAGCCTCACGGCGACGCTCGCACACAACTCAAAAATGACGTTCACGAATGGGAAAGAGAGGAGGTCACGCCCGTGAGCATGCAAACATGCATTTGTTGCATCTGTCCTGACGGAAAACGAGCGGCAAAGCAGGCGCAGTCACGCGAACAACGCAAATTCGAAGCCCAGAGCCCCGGGTGGAGCACCACACCTCTGACATGTTGTTATTAATAGGTACTTCGAAGTATATCTCAACAAACCGTGTTGTACGTACAGAACAGCGTGACCGCTACCACATCAGCTCCGTAGGTAGTGCCATATGTATTCCACGCATGACGTCACACCGCCGCCACCGCAGGGGCCTCAAGATCACTGAATTTCCGTCGTGTTTTGGTCAACTCCTATATATGTTGTACTTTGAGATAGATCAACGAAGCCTCTTGCTGCGGCATAGCACAACACCCACGCGTCTTTAGACCCTCGCCGTCTCGATTCGTGGCTTATGACAGTCTCACCGGTTTACGTATTCGTCGTATTTGTGCGTGTATACAACACAATAGCGGGGTGTTCGGATTTGATTGACCTCTGAGATCGGCCAGCTAAATAAACGCCATGCCGAGAACGCCCACACCGATCACGACGTAGTTGCAACCCCCCCCAGAATTAATCTCGATCTCCACACCTGCTTGTGGGCTCTTCGGAATTGGGAAGACTTTCTAAACTCCGAGAATGAGCTCTCGTTTGAAACGACCCATATGTATTCGACACTATGGTCCCGTCCTCCACCGCACCAACATAATGTGTGTAACAAAGCCATTCGACGAGTATATATGCCACAGGGAACACCTATTTACACACTGCAGCATGTCCTTGCAGGTTCTGTATCTCAAGCGCAACATCAACGAGTTGAACCGGCGGCCTGCCGGTACTAGATATCACACGCTGCAGGTGTCACCAGCAACGCTGTCCCGGACAGAGGTCTACGCAGGTTAAGCAAACAACCTGCCAAGGTATAGAATCGTCTATTTTGGCTATTTTGGGGATTGGGTTGCCAAAGTATAGAATTGTCTATTTTGGCTATTTTGGGGATTGGGTTAGGGGTGGAGTCTGCGTACGTCCTGCCTGTTTTTTTTTTCGCAAAAATCTTACTTGCTGGCTTTGCGTAGGTAATGCGTCCCAGACTACCTACATGACGCTGAGCGCCACGAAGCCAAGGCGTTCTCGGGGGAGAATACAATGGCAACTACAGCAGTATACTGCTGCTGTGACCAAACGAACGATCGCGAGCGAGAATGCCTTTCTTTGACTGCCTGTGCTGACGAAATTTGGAAAAAGCGACCGCATGGCACGGAAAACATCCGCACGGAAAACATCGCCTCGCGGATGCGCAAAAGAGCTGGAACACGACGTGGGGGTGCTTTGCGATTGAACAAGACGAACCATAACATACATTCGCATGTCTTGGAAGTACGGACGTAATCAACTGCTAACACCAGGTGGCAGTCCTGGTGTGCGCTGTACAACCAAGCGACAATCACCAATCGCCCAAAAAAACTCAAAGTCAATTCCGGGTCCTCCTCGTCTCAGATACTGCTGCGGATACTCTCACACTACAGGGACCCGACGTTGAGGACGGAAAACTTACCCCGTACAGCAGCGACATGATCAGAGGCGCCGCCCCGAGCTGGGCGAACATCACAGGCACCATCGTCCGCCGTCCAAATGCAGATGTTCAACGTCAACAGCCTTTCTCTCTGTCTACAGCCGATATGACTGCAGCCGCCGCCGTAGTATGATAGCAATATTGCGATGGCCCTACAATGACCTCTCGCCCCACTTTGTAATGGATCGGGTTTCCTCAGCCGTTGGCCATAGCCACACCCCAGCCCAGAGCCCAGAGCCGCTATTTGTGCTACGTCGTTGCGTGCACGAGCCCCCCAGCGGCAACAGGTCATCACATCAACACAACAGGTGGACCGCAATATCGATTCCACGTCGCCCCCTTACACCAGGGGTTCCGCGACGTCGAGTATAGTGGCGAAGGCCAAACAAAGGGATACCTAAAAAAAGGTACAGGTACATGTGTATCCCTTTGGCGGAGGTCTTTCATCTGGCAAGCAAGCACGGCTGAGCGGAGGAGCGGCTCTGGCTGCTGTGTACTGTAGATTCGCAAGGGCATACATCTCTCGTGTGAGTTTCTTTGCTGCGAGAGAGAGCGCGACTTTCTCGCAGTCAAAACGATGTTGTTACGACAACGTCCTCATGTGCTGTTCCTCTGCTTCTACGCAAGCTGCTGCTGTGTTCCGATCAGAAAATCCTCATGCGGAGCGTTTCTCGTTCGAACGACACAAAACATGCGCAGCCGCAACGACAACGACAGGATCACCAGCTCTGGCACCCGGCTCGAAAAACAGGTACGTTTCGATGCCCGTATTCACAGGTGTCGTTTTCGTGCCGTGGGATTGATGGAGTGATGTAGGAAATCTTTATCTTTCCTTACCCGACCCGTGATCAAAAACACATATGTCATGCATACAAGTACAGGTTCCCGGTTCATGATTGTCAAGTTCTTGGCTGGTATGCTGCTGTACAGTAGTCTACACGTCGAGTCGTATGCATATTCTGGAGACGCATGGGGCCCGGTAAGCTACCCTTGATTCGAGACGTTCTGCGCTTTGCATGGGGTGAGAGTTGGTACGCGGGCTTGATACATAGCAACTGTGCACGTAAAGTCGGTATGGAAACCGATGAATCCCACAGGACTGCTGTGGTTGAACGGCATCGGGCACGGACACCAAACAGCTATTGCAGCGCTACCATACTGCTGTAGCGTCTACGATGCGCGCATCTCCACAAGGTTTTCATTCTGACTCGGCCGCCACCCACTCACCACACCCAGACTGCAATTCCCCTCCCCCGCGCCCCCCGATAGGCACCCGTTCCGGTACGGTGTCGTCATCGCAACGTCTCGAAACAACAACGGCCCTTCTGGGTCTTCGCAAGAGGTGGAGGCGGTACCGGGCGACCACCACGTCTGGGTGGAGGCGCCTACGACAACGCTGAAGTAGGATCTCCTTCAACGATTCCTGCCGCTGCTGCTGCTGCTGCTGGCGCAACCCCAACCGAGGCAGAGGAGGAGCCAATACCGGGAGGCAACAGCGTCGCCTCAGCGGCATCGGCAGACGACGCGAGCGGCATCGACGACAGTGATGGCAAAGCGGAAGACGATGGCGAGAACGGCGGCATGCCTGCTGCCGCCGCCGAAAAAGAAGAGGACGGTGAGCTGCGGCCCGGGCAGGCGCGGGTCTTGGAGTGCCGCATGGAGACGGCAGGTGGAGGTGAGACGCTGTACGCGTGCCTCGGGGACGACGTTTCCAAGTTCACCGTATTCCTAGAATCAGCAGTCGCGAGGGGGCTCGGCGATGAGCTTGGACACAGGGGGGCGGAATCGTCTTCTGCGGCGGAAGGGGTGGCACAGCTGCAAGTCGTCGCGAAGACCGTGGACCTTGCAGACGAAGGAGTCAAGCAGGGCTTGGAGACGCTGTGGAAGGAAGGCAGACTCTTGTCTCAGGAGAGCGATCCAGCGGACGTTTTGCGAGGGCGGGAGGTGCGTCATGGTTCCAGCGGACGGAAGGGTCCGTTGGAAACGTAGGGGGCGCTATGAACCTCGATTCCCGAAGCGGGGGTCGTGTGCGCTGTCCGGCGATGTTGATCGTGTAACTGCCCCCGGTCAATTTGTTTTCCACGTTATCGAGGGAAGAAAGCGTACCGGCACGTGAGGGTACGAGTTTCTCGTAGAACCGACGCGTGTGTCGAATCCACCGAAAAACGTCAAGCGTGTGCCGGGGTTTGAGGGCGCTCGCCGACGTAGAGAACCTTCGTGAAGAATCGCGTTTGTGTTGGTAGGAACACAGCATCTACACAGGGCATGGATGTGTGGATGCAGCGGCTCCCTTGGTGAAGACGACTAGGACAGTACCTACTTAAAGCAGGGACAAAGCAATACCTAAGGCCAACCCCCCACGACCTCGAACAGCGACGATACCAACAACAGAGACTACCAGGCTCCCGTTCGCCACGCGCGCGCATGGCTTTTGATACGGCTGCGTGGGTTCGCACCTGCATCACCCTCCCGCCCCCCCTACACACACCCTTCCCACACACCGCACGACCGCCCCCCCGCTGTGCCCCCCCCCTTGCTGTCCCCATGCAGCGAAATTTCTCCGAGCGGCTGTCGGCTTACACGAACAGAACCAAGTTCGACCACTGGGAGACAATCCCTCCCGAGCGATTGCTAGACACCGTGGAAGAAGGTTGCGGCGCGGAAGCTCGGACCCTCAGTGTCTTTGACTCTGGCCGGCCGGTGGAGGAGACCCTCTCTTCGATAAAGGCCATTCTCGAATGGTTCAGGCAGGTAGGGGAGTGGGATTGTGTCCCTCATCTACCCACCCACCTGCTTGACTATTTTTCTGATGGGTGGCAAGTTACAGAGTTGTTTGTTTGGAGGCGCACGTTTGGAGACAAAATACATGATCTATCAACAACAGGTTTGCCTTATTTTCATATGCTCTTCTTCAAAACGTGGTTCTTGTAGCTCTTACTGAAAGACCCGGCTGTCGGTCGCTTGGGCTCGCCGTCAAAGAGATTGCCCTGCAGGATTAGGGTTTGATCACAAAATTCTTCAGAACCCACCGCGGACTATGCACGCCTCGGTAAGCAACCTCCTCGTTCTTCTGGTCCATACATCCTACTGGGCCTTGTCGAGCTCCACCCCCTCCCATGAGAGTATGTTTGTTGTTGATGTTGTCCACCATTTCCATCTCTCTATCCAGTACCTCCCTCTGCCCTCGTACCGATCTAACGCTTGACGCGGTCGATTCTCCCATGACCAAACTTGATAGCCGCAAACAACCGTCTGCTTTTTTTTTTCAACAGGACTTCCCGTACTACTATAGCGGGTGCCACGCGTGTGGGAACGGCGACAACAACACGTTCGTGGGCTACGTCTACCCGACGGCGGAGGAGCGAGAGTTTCGTGCCGGGCTCGCGGAGGTGTACCTCTGCTCGTCGTGCGGCCACGTTAGCCGTTTCCCGCGGTACGTGAGATTGCCTTTTTTTGCTGGCTTGGTTTCCGTGCCTCACGTGTGTAGCACCACTTCACGGACCGGGGCGTGGGAAGAAACGGGCTAAGGTTTTCGCTCAGGGGCAAGTGGAGCAGGGCGGGGTTCATGAGATGGACAGAACGCATGGCTCGAGTGAAGGTGCCCCACTACTGGCATACCCCCATGCCATGCACACCGCGTGTCGGGTTTTCAAGACTCGGTTACGGGTTGCACGAGACGACATGATCCGGTCTTGCCACATTCCCATCGTGGTTACCCCTTCCAACCTGCCCCCGCCCCCCCCGCCCTTGCTACCCGTCGTCAGTAGCCTAAGGCGGTACAAGCTGATTGCGTGCTGGTTGATCGTTGGGCATCGTGGTACTTACTGTACTGGTGCATCGTTTTCGATTAGCATTGTGGAGCGTTTGAAGTTCTTTTCCTCTCTTTATTGTTGTTGTTGTTGTTGTTGTTGATACTGTGGTGTGCGATCGTGTCACGGCAGGTACACCGCCGTTTCCAAGGTGTTGGACACCCAGAGGGGGCGCTGCGGGGAGTACAGCGTACTCATGCTGCGCCTGCTCGAGGCGCTGGGGTACACGTGCCGCTGGGTGGTGGATTGGGCCGACCACGTGTGGGTGGAGGCGAGGGTGGACCGGCGGTGGGTTCACGTCGATCCGTGCGAGGTGCGTTGATGAGCCAAAAGAGCCGCAGGAAATCGATGGACGGTAACCGGGGGGTGTACATGGTAGTGCGTGGTCTAGGCACGGGTGGGGTGGGGGGGGGCTCCAGAGGTTGCTTGCGTCGCTCTGCGATTGGGCAGTTGATCTTGCGTGACTGGGATCAATCAAGGAGGTGAGGGTGCGCGGGCATCGGAGGTTAGCGACAGTTTGAGTACAAGTATGTGGTTGTGTCGTGCGCGCGGCCGTGGCTTGTCCGTGTTGGCTGGCTTTAGCTTGATCCTACATGTTTTCGGGTTCGTTGCCGGGGGGGCACAGGAAAGAGAGTCGGTCATCATCTGCGTCTTCGTGTCCAGTCAGGACCTGAAACGCTCGAGAGAGAACGCCGTGATGCACCTGGTATGCAGACAGCTAGACGTGCGTGCGTTGCCGTCGCGCGACGCAGCTGCCGTGACCCATTTTTTGTTGTCCGGACCTCGGTCACGCAACAGCAACGGCTGGGTGGTCCTATTGGTACCCTCGCATCGCCTTCGCCTTCTTTGGTCTCTAGATTTTGGGTTCGAATCTCTCCGGAGCGAACCACTCGTAATTCAGAGGAGGGCTGCCTGTTGAGCCCTTCCCGCGTTCAAACGTGAAGGGCAGCACCGCGCTAGGAAAGGCGTTTTTTGTGTGTGTGTGTTTTCCCTTCCTCCTGCGTGACCCCGGCTGGTGTGTCAAAACATGTATCGAAAGGTGTAGACTAGAGCCGGAATAGGTGGGACGAAGGCACACACGTGCACACCGTGACACCCACATGTAAGCGCTGTTTCTATTGCTGTGTTGGTCGTGGTGTAAGTGGCTCTCTCGTTGTTGCTGCTGTTGGTGGAGTTGCTGACGTCATCTTGTGTTCCTGTGGCCTCGTTTTTGGTCCGCAATGCGGGCTGATCCATCGACACAGCCTTCTGAATAGTTCACGCGATTCAATGCGTGCTTGCAACGTGCCACACCCCAGGCTGCTGTCGACGAGCCCCTGATTTACGAGTCCTGGGGCAAAAATCAGACATACATCCTTGCCTTCAGCCCCACGGAAGTAGTCGATGTCACGGAAACGTACACCAGGTATGAGAAAAAAGGGTTACCGTTTAACGAGGGGGGCGAGGCAGGGATATGAGACAGGGAGAACCGAATGCGCGTCACCTATTGTGGCAATCGTCTTTTTTTTTTACCACCGCCTTCGCGATGGACACATATCATACCGCATTTCCGTGTGTGTCTTTGTTGTTAGCATCGACCAATGCGGTATGTATAAACAGAAAACGCTTGTAAAGGACATGATCTGGGACCCACTCCGTGGATGTGCCTTTGTGTTTTCGGAAAACCTTTCGCACTAGTCTACGGCTTAGCTGATTCGTCTCCCATGCTTCAGCAGTACGCCTGTGAAGCATCTGTGTGTATGAAGCATCTGTGTGCCCTCGTCCGTTCCGACTAAAACCAAGCTTCGCCCGCCTTGTTACTCGATATTGACTTGTCCTTGTCGGGCTTCTTCCGGCGGGGCCTTGGTTTCGCTTGCGTTACTGTGTACCGCAGCGATTTTGAGGTGGCCAAGGCTAGGAGAGATGTCGACCCCGAAACCATGGCAGCGCTTCTCGCCGAGGCCACTGAGACACTGCGGCAGAAGAAACCATGAAGTTGTGCCGCAACACTGGCGAAAAACGGTTGGTTGTTGGGTTGCGGCGAGGGAGAGAGAATGAGAGAGAGAGAGAGAGAGAGAGAGAGAGAGAGAGAGAGAGAGAGGACAGCTTCGGGAGTCTTTGAGGAGAAGACGAATTGGAGCGATATCGCCGATGTGTTTGACTGCTACCGTCAACACGCGGTAGTTCGAATGTTTGCACGAGCAGCGAGGAAGGCTGTGGTTTTAAATAGTATCAATATATAGGAGGAAGGTCCGACGTGGAGGCGTTGTCCGGGGCGACCGCAGACCTAGCGACCACCCTACAAGACTTTTTCCAATAGGCGCAGCGATATAGGCGCTTTTCCCCACACACTTTGATCCTACAGTAGTGGCTTTAGCAGATACACGCGGAGTTGGGAGAGGGGTGTCGCTGGAGCGAATGAATAACACTCGGACCCACGCGAACAAGCGGTGAAGCCCAATATTCCCTGCCCAAGGAGGGGGGGGTGGTATCGATAGCCCCAATAGGGACCATTGCATGGCTGGTTGCCTACGTGGACCACATCCTGCGGTAACAGCAAATAGCCTTGTGTGTGAGTGCGCGCCGACACACTTGCCCGGTGCCGGCAGCACATGGACGGGGCGATCACCCCACGTATCAATAGCAGCGTTGGAAACGTTGGCGGTTCCGAGATTGTCGCCTAGTTTCTTGTAATGACGCGAGTGGTCTATCGTGTGTCTTTGACGAAGTAGAGGTTCGGGTACCGAACACATGGGGTGTGCGGGGCGTTCAACACCAAGAAGGCCTGTCTCGGTGATGTCGGCCTACCCTCAGCTGTGGCCAAGAAAGAGGTCACCGTGCATTCACCACCTCAGCACCAAAACAGCTCTTGACTACATGGTCGTGGCAGCGAAAGAAAATACGTGGTGGGGACGGTTTGACAGACCCCGCCGGGTGTCCCCCCCCCCCCCCTCTCTCACTGTACCCCCTGTTGCCCTCGTTCCGGGCCGTGCGAAGATACCCGGTGTAGGCAACCACTGCTGCCGGTGGCACTTCAGACTGACTGACAACATAAACAATAGAACGACATACACCAACAGAAACGAGTCGACCGAAGTCCGACGTCGTCGCCTCCTCCTCCTCACAGCCACAAGAAACTGCAGGAGGAGGAGGAGTTCCAAACGGCAAACAACCAGGGTCTTATGTACAAGCCCTCCGCACACAAGCAACGTTACCTCGTCAAAACCTATCTACGACACATGCACATGGCAAGGTACCACCGGGCGAGGGGCGCCCAGATTCGTGCCTTCAGCAAAACCCCTGTCGGGAAAAAAAAAAAAAACTCATCGCAAGGCACACGCGTTCGCTAGCCTATCTTGCGCGGTCTCTGCAGGAAACGTCAGTGGAGGAGACCACTCCTCCCGTCCGCCACTGCGGTTCCTCGTCGTAAAAAAGGTCAAACTACAATTCACCGCTGCATGCGCGCGCGCACACAAGGCGCCGATCGCCGTGATTGGGTGCCTGTCTGCTCTCCTGCGGCGTGAGACACCCACCAAGCGCTGTCTCATTCTCCTTGGGGGCTCCGTGGAGGTGGGGGGGGTCATGCTGCAAGGTCGTCTCCGGCGTCCATGACGGGAACGTAGTACGTCAAGTTGCCGATGTTGATGGGGGAGAGGATCACGTGAAGTACCAAGGAGTACCTGGATAGTGAGACACACAGGACGGAAAAAGCGAAGACGGTTTGGGGTGGACGGGCGAGCGCAGAAGAAGCGAGCACATAAAAAGAAACGAAGTGAGGGATTGGGGGAGAAAGCAAATACGGTGACTACCGGTTACACACGCAGCTTCACGGGGCAGCCTCTTCTCGCAAAGGAAGCACACACGCGCCTTGTCCCTATCAATCTACGTACACCCTGAAACGAAGATAGAAAAAATACTGTTGTACTCCGAAAGCATGTGCAAAAACCCACATCGAGAAGTCTCGGAACACGCCCCCACGACGGCTTGTCTCGAGAGCAATTTCACGACCTGTATCGTGCGAGACACATGCCTCCCTCCCCGAGGGCGGTGTGACCTCGACGCCACCGGCGAAATGGAGACAAACGCCTCACGTCTCAACACGCGCAACAGGGGCCTTGCTTGGCCCCTCTGCGAGGACCCGCACCTCTTCACGCGCGCCCAACCTCTTGACGCGCAACTAAGAGGCGGACCGCACCTGACTGCCTATCTATCATTTTCAGCCATTTTAAAAAAACAAGTACATGAAGGCATGTGCGTTCCTCCACGGAAGAAGAAAAAAACTCACCCCCCGATGATGCAGCAAATGGCGGTGTCGAAGCGAAGGGCATACATGGACATGACCGCCGCCAGCTTCTTCACGTCCACCTTGCAGCAGAGGAAAAGAACAAAACAATGCGTGTCGAAAAGGAGAGCCAGGGAGGAAGGAGACGCGAGAAAAAAACGCTCGGGGAGTAACATGAGCGGTAAGATGCGGGAAACACGGGGAGCCGAGAAACGGACGAAGACGCCAAAAACCGCGAACGGGAAACGATAAAAAAAAAAAAACAACGCCTGGAAATGGGAGGGGAGCAGCGACAGTGGGAGGCACGTACACTAGCTCAGGACGACAAAAACGCAACTGTCCCGGCACGTTGGAGCCGGATCCCGTGACAGCGGGATTTTGGAATGAGCCAAGCCTTTCAGCATGGAAAACGTCAACGAAGAGAGGCCGGAGCGGGATCACGACCACACACGAAGAACGGAAAAATGAAGCACACGTGCGCGACGTTCTACGTGCCCTCGCGCCTCAACTTGGCAACAAAAACACACTGGACCCAGGCATGAAACCGCTGCCTGCACACAACCATGACGACCCGTTGAAGGTGTCAAAAAGTCGGAGAAAACCAAAAAGAAAATTACAGAGAAACACACGAAAATGCCATTATGTAGCTCTGTCGAGAAAAAAGCAACGTCAGAATGAACCTGGTGTGCGTGCGTCAACTCTCATGTTGTTGCGTGTAGATTGCCTGCAAGCCTCACCTTAACGCTGGACATGTTTTTCCGGCAGGTGTTGGCGTCCATCTCCTCTGCAACGGCGAGGAGAGGAACAGCGGTGGGGGACGCGGCGCGTGCAAGCCGTAAATACGCCGGACGACCAAAAGCCAAGACAGGGTCATGCGCGAAGCTCGTCAGCGGCCGAGCAACAACAACAACAGCGAACGCCTTTCAAACGGGCGTCGAACCTCTTGTCACGCGGTGCCTCCTGATGGCGGGGTGGTGGGGGGGTCCTCTACTGCCGTGGCGCCAGCACGTCAGCACCTCTCTTGCAGCAAAGGACGACCGGGTGTTATGGAAGTGACGACCGGGTGTTATGGAAGGGACGACCGGGTGTTATGGAAGGGACGACCGGGTGTTATGGAAGGGACGACCGGGTGTTATGGAAGGGACGACCGGGTGTTATGGAAGGGACGACCGGGTGTTATGGAAGTGACGACCGGGTGTTATGGAAGTGACGACCGGGTGTTATGGAAGTGACGACCGGGTGTTATGGAAGTGACGACCGGGTGTTATGGAAGCGACGACCGGGTGTTATGGAAGTGACGACCGGGTGTTATGGAAGGGACGACCGGGTGTTATGGAAGTGACGACCGGGTGTTATGGAAGGGACGACCGGGTGTTATGGAAGTGCAAACACCGCTGCCGGTCCACGCTGTGCCACATCGAGCACACGGAACGTTTTGAAAGAGAGGTAAAGGGGCATAAAGGAAAGCAGCTCGCCACCTCCTATCGTGCACGCCGGGCAGGTTGTTAATTAATGTGTTCCACAAAGAAGGTACCGGAAGACAATGCAACCGATTGATGGGGTCGGAACAGATTTGTGTGATCTCTCGTAGCCTGTCGCCAACACCGTCACACTCCTGCCTACTGCGTACCCCCCCGCTCCTCCCTTTCCGTCTTCGCTTCGCTCACCGAATCTTGGGGTAAGGTTGGAATAGAAGGTCTTGATCGTGGCGTCGGCCTTCTCTACCCTGCACCACGGGGGAGAACACAAAATCAACGAAACGTACACTTTTAAACTTGGATACAAGTGGTGGTAGAGCTTGAAAAAACAAAAAACGTGGATGGAAGTCATAGAAAATTTTCTTGCGTCCTTACGAGGCGGGCGTCTCTACAAGGCCGCCCGCTCATTTCAAGCAAGCGCCAAAGCAAGTGCCCCCCCCCCCCCGCAAGCCCCGAGCCCCCCTCCGATACCAGGAACAGGCGCCGTGTTCCGTTGTAGCTGGTCGGGATGCGCCGGTACGCTAAAAAGAAATCGAGCCCGCGCCCCGCCCGCGCTGCTCCCCGCCCTAGCCCCTCATTTTGCCAGCCGCTCCCCGCCATGGTCGGTCGAGGCGCGCGGAAGGGTGAGCCGCACCCTACCAATAATCATTCGCAACCCACCCGAGCCACCGTGCAAAAAAAAACAAACAAAACGCCCCCAATTAAATAGATCATGCAATCACCTGAAAACCAACTGTCCGCCCATGTCCGCGTCCACGAAGAGGAACTTGTCTATGGCCTTCATGCGGTCGACCACGGTGCGCAAAGAGCGCTGGCGGGGAAGCTCTAGTTGAACCTTCGCCGGGCAGGGGAGATGGTTGGGGTGTAGCGGAAAGCGCCAGGTTAAGGAGGAAGACGAGAGGGTTGAAAAAGAAAGAACATAATTTACCAGAAGAGCAGCGGGCACAGCAGTCGCAGCCAGTAGCAGCTTGCTGCGGCAACAATATATTTTGGGTGGGCAATGATGGGCGGCGGTTGGTGCTGCGATGGCGAAGAAATTAGCTCTGGTGAGAATTTTTTCGACCAGCAAGAACAAGGAATGCGGGCGCGGGACCATGCAGAAAAAAAGTGGACAAGGCAAGCCGGCGATCGAGTGGCGCACCACGAGAGAAGTGCCGCACAAAGAACGAGGGCAAACAACGACAAAGGCGGCGACAATCGTGCGGCACTCAGCCGAGCAAACGCAAGCCGAAAAAAGACGCTCTGGCCCCCTGCCCCCCAACCTCTACGAAAACAGTCGGTGCAAACCAATTTTTCCTCCTGGACTCCTCACCTGCGGCGAATGGACCTTCGGCGGCAGGTAGTACTCTGCCTCATTCGCCGGCATGACCTTCACGGGAATGTCGTGGACGACTTCGATCTCTAGCGCCTGCTCCCCTCGCACGTGCAAATGCCCATCAAAATCAGAGTTGCACCGCGACACGAAACACGCAGCGAACGCACGTAGAGAGAGAAAAAATACGGGAGGTGAGAGGTTTTCGGCCAGCCTTCCGGTCACAGCACGAAACTCATTTACTGCCGACGGGTAGCAAGGCAAAGCACAATACATGGGCCTAACGGGAAAGACGATATTGTACACGTAGCGTTCGGCCGTGCACCAATCGGTCGGAGACTGTGGAATTGACCGAGCGCAATGCACCGACCCGCGCAACAAGAACGCATGACGTCATACAGGTGTTGCCTTACGCCGTTATAGCCTTTTTCGCCCTAGGTGGATTGGAAAGGCACCACTGCTCAGCCCTTTCGCAAACAACACTCCCACACCCATTCACACCTGCACGACCCCCCCCCTGCCCTACTCTCTGTCATCTACTTCTGTCTTGTTTGCTCTCTCACCCTCGTCTCTATCGAAAGACACGGCTGCCCGGCCCTCTTTGCGAGCTTGATCTGGCAGGTCGGCGACGTCTTGCCGGAGTTGAGGGCCTGCAGCAGGAGAGAAGCGTTCGCCTCGAAGAGGATCGCGTTGCCCGCCCTGCTCTCGATGCGGTACTCATGGAACAACATATCCTGCAACGCAACGTTGTCATGCACGGAAAAAAAATACAACGCAGCGACCGACCACGCACAGGGGTCTTACAACACAGATGTACAGGGAAGGCAAACAGGACCCGATGAAAGACGCGGGGCTCAAGGATGGGGTGGGCGAGAGGGGTTGTTGCCTGCCGCTGCTTGCTCTGGTTCTGGTGGCGCATTGCTTGGCGGAGCTGCACCTCCTTCCTCCCAAAATTCTCACGGACGTGCGCGATGTATACACCAGCCCAAGGGGTCGACGAAGGAAACATACCTCAAAGGTCCAGGGACAGGGAGAGCCTACAACATGCCACCGGAAAGCCAGGCGTACACACAAACACGAAGCAGCACTGGCCGCGGAACGAACGTACAGCAAGCACTAAAGAACGATGGACACCTACTGACCGGCAGAAGACACCTGTAGCCAATCGAGCGACGGCGACCCATCACGCGAAAACAGCGGGTCACAGGTGGGCACGTGGCACAACACACAGCGAAAGCATGCAAAAAGGCTAGCCGACACCGAGATCAGCCGACGACACCGCCCCAAGCTCATCTCGGAGAAAGCAGAGCGAGCTACTACAGAGTCAGCGGCGTTAACACACGGCTATGTACCACACGAAGTCTCGATTAGCCGGTTGGGGCAAAGGACCGAATGCACACGAAAAAGTGGACACACGTCAGACCTACAGACAAATTTCTAATTTCCTCCCTGAGACTAATTTCCTCCCGGCTGAGGGCTCACGAGATTGCAGGAAAGGCACTCCTGCTGATGCTCTCGTGAGCCTAGGCAACGATACCATCAACATCAACAACCGCTACCACGACGACGACAACCCCACCTGGATCAGCTCCGCGTAGACGTCTACTCCTTCCGAGCCGCTCTCCTGCACGGAGAGGTGTACTCTTGTCTCCGTCAGGTGCACAACGCACGCGGTCCCTATCTTCTCGATGGCCCCTATCACCCCTGCCGGAGGAAGTGTCCCATCCACACACACCAGGGACCGCGATCGACGCCATTACCGTCACCAACATCAGCATCGTCATCACCATCGCGTTAGCCGTAGCCACCGCCCCAGCAGCAGCAGCAGCAGGAGAGTGCAACGCGGTGCGAAACGCAGCGTGAGGCGGCGGTTTGTGTTTTTTCGACAAATAACATGAACGTTCCGGGGGGTTGACTACTGAAAATTAGTTTTATTAGGAGAACTAAGTAGACACACAGAAAGACTACCCGTTCGAGGTATTCCCACGGGCGAACGGGATGCATTTCACATGACTGAGAAACTGCTGCTGTCGACTCAAAAAGCGAGCACACGAATATCAAACAGCAGTCCCGGTGATCCTCTACAGGCGAACCCGGCGATTTCAAGTTAAAGGTGTTTGCTGGTGTTCCGTTCACATCACCGCGTGAGGCATACCTGCAAAGGCCAGTAGCTTGTCCTGCACGATCTTGGCCTTGAATCTCATTTTCCCGGACCTCTCTTATTAGCGCAGCCTCTTCTTCCCCACGAGTTGATCTCTCGCTGTCTCTCGCAGAGGCTGGAACATTTTCAAAAACAAATTCAAATTCATCCCTCTCCGTGTGGCAGTTCGTTGTTGGAATCCGCGATTGGCTATGGCGAAAGCACGATGTTTCCGCACAACAGAACAGTAAAAGGGCAACGCTATTCCCGGCACAATACCCTGTTTGTGTCTATCGCCAGGGCGAGGCAACCGCAGACCATGGGGCACACTACAGCAGTACCAGTGCAACGATGCACCAAAATTCAAAAGTCGCAGTCGCAGCATGTGCATGTGGGGAGGGACATATACACACGCCGACACCACGCTTGCCGCACGACAACGAGAGCTAAGCCATCTCTTACCTGCGCCCACTTGCCCTCCTTCTTCGTCTTCGTCTCCTGTCGGTGCCAAGGGTACCTTGCCAGCTCCAGCGGCGGCGCTAGGCTGCAAAATTAGGAAATGTTTTTTTTTGCAAATTGGTACGTAGAGATAGGTTTCATCTCGATCTCTGAGGCTTTTTTTGCACAGAGGAAACACGGCGCCCCCCAAGTAAGCAAGCCGCGGCGCCGCACGCCAGAGGCCAACAGCTGCGGTGGCGGAGAACGAACACCCACTAGGACTTTCTCATGCCGGAGGGTGACGACAAGGATCAGATGCAGGTCGCCGAATCGGCAGGTAAGTTGACGCGCGCGGGGATCCCAGTCGGCATTGCGCACCTAATGCTAGATAGGATCGCTGCCTGCTTGTTGTTTTGCTGTGCAGATTTATCTAGCTGTGCCTTTTTTGAGCGTTTGCTTGCTCTTCGAGAACCGTTAGTGGGCCAGTTGTAGACAATCGGCACGCTGACATTTCGGGAAGGCATATACTGTTTCTACCGCTTTGGTGTGGACGGAGTTCCAGTCCTCTCTCGTAGACAAACAAACGGCAAATCCTTTCAGAACACGAAAACTTGAAATTTTCTGAGCGGGCCGCGCGTGCCCCCTCCCCCCCCCCCCCGTGGCTGCTAGCTGGGACAAGTATTGCTACTCCTGTCTCCGGGCTGCGACTGCTGTACGAGACTAACTGACCAACTGCTCTCTTTGTAACATCTGTTGCAGCACTCGTGATTTGTTTTTTAAAGCCTCGCTGGTGCAAGCATCCATGTGCGTAGAAGTCTTGATATCGCTCAACCAGGGAAATTGAACACGGAGAGTATCATAGGAAAACCGCAGGGGGGCGCTCTGTAAGCAAAATGCCGAGATCACCCCCCCCCCCGAACACGTCAGTTAGCTAACTCCTGCTGCTGGGCGTGTCCGGATTATCTTAGCACCTTTTCCTTACGCAGCGTGCGGGAGGTGCAGGTTGTGGGCCTGGTATTGCAGACGAAACGAGGCGTCGTTCTAGACGCCACACGTTGTAGTGTGTACGCTGGGTGGCTCTCTTGGAATGCGGAGACACGCCCAGAGTAGTCGAACAACCGTTTTCGTGTTACGCGGGCGCCACAGCCGAACGCAGCCAGCAGTAGACAAAATGCCCTGCAGTTGTTGTGTGCCCCTTGTACCGCTGCGACGGTTGTCAGCCGGTTATATGGCTGCCAGCACACAATCGGTGCACTTTCCTGCCTCCCATCTGTTGTACACAGCCTTCCCTTGCACACGCCATTTATGGCGGAGTTTTATTGGCCAGCACCTCGCACAAAAGGCCATGTTGTTAGAACCGAAAGATATCCTGCCAGACAGCGTCCGGCCACAGCACACGTTTTCTACGCCGGCAGTCTTAGCCATCGACACGTCCCGCGTTGAGCAAGAAAGACCAGTCGTACGATGGGTAACGGGTGTCCCCGATGCGATCTGCCGTCGTGCCGTTGGATGTGATCAGTAGAACCCTCGACAGCGACCGAACGCGGCGAACGCCTGCTTGCTCCCGATGCTAGAAATTTGGACTTCGTGAGGTTACAGGGGCACGCGGCGCACAAGAGCTTGAGCCCAGGGTTGTGGCAGTCGATTGCAACCGGGGAAACAACGACTTCTTGCGATTGGAAAATGGGTCGAATCAGACGGCATCGGCTGCTACCGGTACTTGGAATGCCCCCATGATGTGTTTATTGTACTAATATGGAACGGATGCACGTTGTGTTAACTAAATATTGCTCCTTTTGTCAGCGCCGGCGTCGGAGGCTAGCCTGGTGCCTCAGCAGGGGGCCCCGTCGGTGGCCGTAGCGGAGGTGGAGTCGGCCGAACAGAAGGCAACGGAGAGCTTGCAGGACCGCCTCAACGTGCAGTCCCTGCCGATCCGCGCGTACCTCGACCAGACCGTGGTGCCCATCCTGCTCGACGGCATGTCCGCGCTTGTGAAGGAGCGGTGAGTGCGGCTTGTTGGTGTATGGGACATGTGGGGTGGTGAGTGTGATAAAATCCTGCACGTGACTCGCTAGAATATAGACGTAGTATAGTTTTGTTGTGCACGTGGGATGGACAGAGTGACGGGCTGAGGGCACATCCGCGTTGCAGGTTACCACCAAAGCTGTGTTATTTTTGGCGCTTTTGTTGCGACCAAGCACCGATGGCGTGGAGCCCCCACGCCGGCCGCTTTGCTGCATAGGGATGTTACCCGTTATTCGACAACCGCTCCGGCTGTTGAGAAGATCCAACATTTGGCCAACCCTCCAAAAGAAACCTTGTAGAAGTCTCTATGGCGTGGTCCCAATACAATTTTGGATGGGGACGTTTTTTTACCGTGCATTGAGCGCTGAAGCTCAATGTGGGAGGATCTCTCTGAGGATTTCCAAACAAACTTGGCGGTGAAGGTATTGAGCATGATTACTCGAGATGGGGGATCCGAGGGTGCTTTGCTTCACTGGAGCGACCCTTGTCATGGCCATCCAACATTTGCCCCACCCCCTCAATGCTATCTAATCCTGTGTGTCATCCACTGTGGGCAAGTCTTGAGCGAGTTCACCAACTCCTCCGATGGTTGATTGCCGTGTCGAGGTTGGTGCTAAGAGCTGCGAGACGTGCTTGAATCAAAAGCTCTTTCACTTTGTCGTGGCACGGCATTTGCCAGGTTCACGGCGAAACCATGGCGTATCAAACGTCTTCGGCGTGTAGAGCGTAAACATGCTTGAGGTCTCCTGCTGATTTCATAGCAAGTAACGATCTGTGTGTTGGGTATCAGCGGTGACAAAGGTGTTGCCCAGATGGTCACAGGGCTAAACATCATAGAGGCGCACACGGGGTACCACCTAGTTCCCACGGAGCCCCGTCGTGGTGTTTTTTGTGCTTTTGTGGGACCTACGTGCAACCCGGGTGGGCAACACCGGCAGTGAGGGCATTAAATCCAATCATGTTTTTTTGCAGCCCGCCCATTACGTCGAGAAGCCCTCCCGCCTGGGCGAGAGTTTGCTCCCAGCTGCAATATTTCGCGCACACTCTCGATTGCGTCATTGTCTCCCTCTGCGTTCTTGGCCTTCGCTGCCATTTTATTGAGGAATGGTTGAGCTAGTTTTCCCCTCCTCTGAGTTTGCATTTGATGCCGCGTCTCGACAACCATTCCTGTGGGCGAAAATGCTTTAGTTCGTTGGAAAACCGAAAGTAACCAAGGAAGGAGAACTAACATTTTTCTCGTGTGTCCCCTCCCGTCCCGCGGCCAACCTCTGGTATTCCTCGCCTCGCGCAGCCCGCCGAACCCGGTGGAATGGTTGGGAAACTACCTCTTGCGGAACAACCCGCAAAGCGCCCCCCCAGCGGCGAACTAACAGGATGCGTCTTTTCTGCGTGATGCTGGGAAAATTAGTTGCAGGGGGTGTGCAAACGGAAAAGACGCCGCAGGGGAGAGAGGCCGGGACTTGGCTTGAACCTCCAGAGGAAGGTGGTGTCTTTTTGTTTTCCCGTGTCTGACGTTGCTTTCGACGGTCTCTTTTGTTGTAGTTTTTGTGCTTTTGTCTATGTAGGTCGGATGTCATCGTGGTTGTAAGGTAATTATCAAAATAGGCTTGTGTGTGCACTGCAGCGGGAGCGGATCGGCCTCTGCCCGCGGCGAACGAATGCGTAAGTTTTCGCCGTTCGTTTTGCGGAATGAACGAATGGCCTTGGGTCCTCGGCGGTTGTTGCTATTGTACTGCTGCTAAGCTTGCTGCGGTTGTGGGGGGGGGGGTCGCGGTGTGTGTGGGGGCCGGCTATGCCAAGTGTGTACAGAGACCGCAGTGAGGCACCCCCTCCCTCGGAGGTTTGGTGCAGGAAGAAGGAGAGTAGAACATTGCTTTGAGACGGCGGAGCGTTGCTGACGGTTCCCTTTTGCTTGCCCTTCCGTTGTGCTACCTGCTGCCCCTGCGTTCGGGGCCGTGCCAGCCCATGGCTGGGCGGGAGCGCCACGCTTACCCGTGGGCCGCGTTGGCGCTTGGGCAATTGGCGGGCGCGGCGTGTCGGGTAGTACGTACGTTCCAGGCGTTGTCCCTGGTTTGTCTTCTGATATTTCAATCCAAATTTTATTTTCCCATGGAACAATATGATCCGGTACGTGACATGCCCCGGAGTATGGCGCCCCTCGGCCGAAGCAGCCGATTGCTTGGCGCCTTTGCTTTTTCTGCACACCCGCGGTTCGGCATGGCACAGCCTTTCCAAGCACTGCTGCCATGGAGTGGCTGCGCAACAGAATGGTTTGCCTATCTGCTTGTCGCGCTCGCTGAGCAAGCTCCCTTCTTGTTTTCGCGAGAATCGGGCCATCTGGTCGGAAACTTGCACCAGGTGCTTTTCTGTGGGCCCTCGTCGTGATAGTCAATCTTAATCTTCTTCTTTGAGTTACTGCTGTAGGCAGACTGCCAACTAGGCATGTGCCAGCTATGTTCACGACTGCCTGCCCGGCGAGATGGGGGGGAAGGCCACAGACACCCAACATTCAATTTTCACATTCACAAGCACTTGTCCTGGGTGGCAGACGGTCATTTTTGACCCGCGGATAAGCATGAACGCCAGCTGGGCATCTTTGTTTTTCTGTGCGTGAACACGCCCACGGGGGGTGTCGGTGGCCTTTCTCTTGTACCTCCACCATGCATAGACTACATGCTCTGACAGAGGTCTCGGTGTTTCCCAGTAAAAATGGAAGCGGGACGACAAAGTCTTGCTGGTGTACGCTGGCTCTACCCTGAAACGTAAAGGCTGTACACTTGACAACAACAGGAGAGCGGTCGGAAGACAACTGTAGTCTCTACTTTGCCATGCGACAATGAATGTTGGCCGGTGAGTGGACTCAAATGTCCTGTAGGACGCACGTTCTACATCGACGCGAGCGGTAAGAAAATAGCCGACTTGTTTCGCAAGCCGCGAGTTGGGGAAGGAATATCCGATTTATCTGGCAGAGCCCGTTAAGCCTATGTAGGCTTAGTCTATAGGGCCGGAAACGATCTGCAAGTACATGATAAAACGCCACTCGGCTACGTATGCATCGGTACATCTACACAGTAGAGGACTTCGACAATTTCACAATTTCCTTCCCCGATGAAGGTTGCCACAAGGAGAGTGCACACCAAGGAATCATCGGGGCACCAAGTGTAGGCAGCGCACTCCGATCGCAGCGGAGCAGTTTTGAGCAGCCCTCTCGGGAAAGATGTGTCGGTAATTGATTGATGGAGCCTCAAAAATTACTACTACGCGTACTGCTGTAGAGCAGTGCGATGACGAAAACAGACGAAGTTCACAGGACAACACGGGGGTATCCAAGGGTATCAAAAGAAAACGCTTTCCGTCTCTCTGTCGACAATATTCCACTACGACAGCCAACAGTAGGATGCACGTCAAAGAACGACGACCCCTATCCCCCTCCCCGCTCCGCCCATGACACAGCTCCTTTCAAATGAGCTGAATGTACAGCAGCACTTGAATGTGTGTTTGTCTATGTTGCCCCGCACGGCCAGTCTTATGAGTTTTTTTTTTTAGTTGGGTGAACGCGCACGGCAGTACTCCAAACGGTGGCCACACGTTCGCTCACACCACGTTCGCAACATCTCCAGCGCGAACCAACACCTGCTGCAGAAATAGCGGAGCCAACGCGCGGAAGAGAAAGAAAGGCAGGGGTAGGGTACTGAAGCAAAGACAGCCCAAGGATTGTGGCGGGGGAATAAGAGAAAAAAGAGGATGGATGGACGCATTCTATCCGTATGGAAAACGCCTCCACGCTAGAATCCGGGGGCGCAGGGGGGTGCGGGGGCGCGGGAGACGGCCACGTAGTTTTCAGGCAACAGAAGCAGGGGCACGTACTGGAGACGTGGGTGGCCCTTTTGGTGGACAGGACGACGGTAAGAAAGATAACGGAATAGGAAAGGGAGAAATGGTATAGGTGGGGGGGTGCAGAGATATAGACCGAGAATGGATTTCGGTATCGGCACCACATTTACATTCGGCGCATCTATTTTTGCTGGATGCCACTTTTACACGCACCACCACCGCCAGTTTTGGCCGATGGTCTCGAATGAGCGGAGTTTTGTCTACAGCAGTGCAGCAGGGGACATGCGCGCTGCCGTTGCGAGGGATGGGGTAATCACCATTACATCGCATATAGACAGTTCAGGAAACGAAGCTCCGCTGTGTGGTATGGCATGAGGTCATTACGCCGCATAAAAACACATTGTGAGGCCAGGATGCTGGGCATCTTGTGAGGTACCCGCTTGTTGTTCAACCGAGAGGGTTCCGTAAAGGCTTGGCAGAATGGTAGCACATATTGCACCGTGGTGTGCCCTGTCGAACGCTCGAGGTTGGACAAGGTGCTGCCGGTGTGCGTGTGATATTCAAGAAGATGAGGGTGGCCGATCGAATATCCACACAGTAGTAGTGAGTCTTCACAGCAGTAGTACACTAGAATGGATCTCCTGTATGTCCGTTGCCAGGATCCTGGTGTGGTTTCATCCTGCACCACTCTTAGGTTCCAGTCACTTGGTTTTTTTACTGTCCCTTCTTCAGCTCAAGTCCCAGTTGGTGCACGCTACGATAGTGTATTACTGTAGTCCATATGCATACCCGTCTCTACGCATACTTTCAGAGAGCAGAGGTGGAGAGTTCGTTTGCCCAACCGATTCCGTGGGATAGCACCCGATATGGACTTGTAAGCGTCTCCGGTAAGCCATCGTCCATGGAATGAAACAAGTTGTGGTGTTCTGCACCACCCCATGGAGCATTTCGTACCTGCTTATGCTTGCGAAAAGCTACACGCAGAGCTCGCAGAGGTAACCCAAAGGGCCTTACGCGTGGGAGGGGGGACCCGGACCCAAGACTACCCCACCAGACTACGTACGCATTCCAATGGAACAACTTCCTCCCCCACCCACTCATGAGCCCCCTTTCCGCCCACGACCAAGCCAAGCACCATCGCAGTATCTGTTGGCATGTAACACGACCGACCCTGCAAACCGTAAAACTCCCGTGTCGTACTTCTCGGCCTGCATTGTATGTCGTGGTCGATTCAGTGTGTTTCGGTTCCGTTATGGTAGACTCGGTCCTGGAGGATAAATTCTTGATCGTACAGGGTGCGGATGGTGGTACTGTAGTCCAACGCCCGGGGTCAAAAGAGTGTGGGAAATGGGATTCATGTGCAACGCTAGGCGTGTATTAGGTATCCATGAACCCCCAATCAATCGTTGTTATTGTTGTGGGTGGTTGCTGCTTGCTGTTGTTGTTGTTGTCGTGGATGTCCTTACGGTCGTCATCGTTCTTCAGTGGTACTTGCCTAATTGTTGTTGCCATTGCAAAATGCTTCCCAGGGATACGGGGGCTCAACCTTGGCACGTAATTCTATCGAGGCGGCAACCAAACCGGCTGATGCCGAGCTTCGATGTACCCAACTCCGCCGCACGGCTCACGAGCAACACCCGGCACATTCTCTCCCGCCTCGGCTTTGGTCTTGACGCTGACGACGAGCACACCGGCATGATGGCAGCTAACGATGAGACAGAGAACGAGGCATCAACCGAACTGCATCATCGCAAGGAGCAGCTTCGCGGTGGAGAAAAGCATGTTACTACCGCCGCCGATGAACTCGACAGCGACAACGACTTAGAGGAAGAACTGGAGCGGGTATTCCATCTCGCGGTGCGCGCGGACAGCACATCGGAGAAAGAGTTCATGGGCATACTTTCGCATTCGGCGAAGGAACTTCGTGGGGGGGAGGTGATGGTTTCCTCGGACCACAGTGGCAACTCCCGCCCCCTCAGTCGCAACCCAAATCGTCCTGCAGAGTTTTGTTATGGGTGAATTTGTGCCCAAACACCACTGCGGGCAATGATATCCTGAAGGTTTTGTTTTTCATCATACTGCGTGCCATGCGCACGTGTGTGGCGCGTTAGTGTGTCCCGTCGCGAACATTCTGCCACCATCCGTCCGCTCTTCTCCCTTGCGCATCCCGTGCCGCACACGGAACACGGCGTCTCTTCAAGTGTAATAGTCAACAAGCTTTGCCCTACGCTAACTTTCCCTTTTTGTCAAACACTGAGAGAGATATCGACATGAACCACCTCGAAGCGTGCACATCGTCTACAAACTACTTGTACCCAAGTCGGCATTTCGAAAATCAACTATATTCGCGCATGCCACTGCTCCAATGGCTCATGTATTCCCCTCCCCCCCTGCCTCCCTCCCCCCCCACGGTGTCAATTCGTCTGCTTGGTCCGGTACCCCGGCTCGCATTAGTCCGTTGCCGTGTCGAAGTGGAAGAAGGTCGTGTTTCTGCTCTACTGCCGCCTCACAAACACGGTGTTCAAGAACTCTGCGCTTCTCGCTGACAAGAACCGGCTGGTCGCCGAGCTGCACCGCACTGGACTTGAGCTGAAGGAGACCAGGAACCTCGTATCCTCCCTTCTCGACAGTCACGTAACCGTTGATGGGGGGCCCGGGGACTCAGCAGTGTCGGTGTTGGCACCGAACGCGCCTTCGCGCGACCAGTCGAACGAGAGTTCCGTCCAGAGCGCGACGGCGGGTGACAGCGACGGCGTTGACGTGCGACACTCCGACCATCAACGAACCTCGTTCTACGACTCCGCCAATTCTGGCAACGGCGACGGTCTCAACGGTGGCCCGGCGACGCTTAGCATGGCCTCCGAACGTTGGAAAGACAACTCCTACTACCCAGATAACGACAACGCCGGGGGGCGGTCGGGGTTTCCATCTGGAGCCGGTGCGTTGGCCAGGCTTGCGAAGCTTCAAGGTCAGCAGCAGGGTGAGCGTGTCGAGACAATCGTTCGTGATGATCTCGCAGATGTCGCCGCGGCGGCTACAAGTATGGCCCACGCTACCGACAGCCCGGTGGCGTCCGAACGATCGGCTTCAATGGTTAACACGACGGCGTACGGCACCGAGGATTCTGTTGGCGAACCCACCCTGCAGTGCTTTGGGAGTGGAATTGCTAGGCGTGTTTCTCCCGGTGCGATGCCCATCTCCCCGCAAGTACCAGAGATTGCGGCGGAACCGGCACCGGTGCCCCCGGGGTTGGAGATATCGTATCTGCTCCCGAGCAAGGCTGAGAACGTCCCCTTGGCCGCTGCGCGATTGGCCAACTCCCGATCGTCGATCACGTTCGGACCAAGAAAATACTCTAGGGTTGCACAGACGAAGCGAACATCGCCCCTCCGTAGTCACGGCACCACGGCAGACCGACTGGGAGGAACGTCGGTGGCGGGGACAGCGGTGGTACGCGCCAGGTCCAGCGTTCACTGCCAGTCAGGGCCCCAAGAGAACGCAGCACGAGCACCGGCGGTGTCCTCAGCAGAGCGGGCGGCGGCCTTCGGGACAGAGATATCCCAATCCCTCGCCGAAGAGATCAAGGAAAACATTCGCTTGAATTCTTCGAGGGCCACCTCCCGCCGCCCCTCTACTACGTCGGCTGCATCTCCTCTTGCTCAGGTGCTACAGGAGGCCCGCGCGCCCGTACCCCAGCCTTCTCCACCTTATTCTTTGCTGGCGGCCGCCGGCGCTGCTATGCCTGTCGCTTCCATGTCTCCAGAACCGTGTGGAACCGGGGGGGTGCAGCAAAAAACCCAGCGGACTCCGTGGCGGTTCGCCCGCTCGTCCACTTTTGCCGCCGCTGCCCGTCCCGCGAACCAAAGCACCTCCTACCACCGGGGCCGGGGTGTTCATAAATCAAGGAGGGACGAAGCGTTCGTAACGGACATCTCGGAAGAGCTGGACAGAACCAGAAAGGCAATCCAAAGGAGCACCTCGGAGAAGATCTCCGCGCTCAAGCAGGAGCAAGAGGCGGCGGCGGTAGCAGTAAGGGAGTGTTCGGCATCGTCAGTGCTGAGGCAGAAGCACGCGACGGCAGTGAAGGGCCGCAGAAATGCAGCGACACAGCAGCCCGCCGGGGGAGATTCACTACCGTTGTTCGGCTCGCAACTCAAAGTCGGACGCCAACCGAAGGAAACCGTTGCCAGCACGGCCATGAGCAAAGAAAATGCCGCGACGAAGGGACCCCGGAAGGCTCCTCGGTCGACGGTGGTTGGACCTGAGCGCGGAAGCAAGGGACGGCAGCGGGCTCGGGCGTGTCTCCCTCGCGAGGTACGGCTATGAGGTGTGGTGTAAGCTGGTGCCGAGAACCGAGGTTCCAACTGTGACGCCACGTATGTACAAGTAGAGTCGGTAGAAGCAGCCGTACATTGCAGACCAACAGCTACGGGTATGTAGGTGCTTGCATTTTTACGTGTTGGGGGGGGTTGGCAACCCGGGCAGCATGTTTTGCACTGTTTGTGACAGCAGTTCATGATAAACCATGGAGGTTTCGCTAGATGTTCGCCGCCAATGACAAAATAGTCAATACCCTGCGTTCTTCCCCCTTGTGCCCACGTTCCACCGAAAAAACTATTGCTGCCGGCGTTAGAACGTGGTCAGCTAGCCGACCAGCACCTTCCCCAAGGGTCCTCTACAACGGCCAGTGACCACCTACGACAGACTGAGGTTACTGTTGAACTTTCGGGCTCCGTTGCTTGTACGACGTTGCCCTGCTTCTCATCCTTAATGACTTTCATGTGATCAGGCGGCTACGCGGGCGTTACCGTGAACGTTTCTGCTTTTGCCACCCCTCTCAGGTACTTTTTACCTCGGCCGTTGCAGTTCTTCCCGCCGATGACCTTTGCTCGCGACAAGACTCACACAGACACCCCCCCCCCGTCATCTATGCTTGCGTATCTGTTTGTACCTTCGCTACCTCAGCAGGACCGGTAGGCGCACTGTAGCACCACCGAGAGCTCGAGGTCAAAGTGTGTGAGGCGAGGCAACTTGCCTGTTTGAGGAGGGAATCCGCATACCTTAAATAGTCCCGAGAAGGATACGAGATGTTCCGGGAATAGGTCGCCTCAACCCTGTGGGCAACCGGCGTGAAGGTTCATCAAGTGTTTGGCCTTGAATCGCTATTGTGAAACGGGAAATCAAAGCGCCTGCTGTTGAGTCGGACGTGTGAGACAATTTCGAAAAAACACTGTAACAAGGCTGGCTCGATATGTTCCCGCTCGATGTTTCGATGGAGAACTTCAGGGCAGGACAGTTGGAGTCCAAAACCACGGCGTCAAGTCATGGACGCCACTTCCTGCGTTAAGACCTAGCTCTGCTCGGTAGCGTAGCTAGGGGGCACAATCTGGCGAAATGTTGCGCCAACCCAAGTCGACGTCGGTGGCGGTATGACACATAGAATGGTCCATACATGGGCGTTTCTCGACTGGGTCATTCTGTAGGAGAGGCGTGGGTGTAGCTTTGGGCGTGCGGTGTGCGGGGTTTCATTGTCTTGAAGTGCACGTAGATTAGTCTATGCGTTCTAAGGGTTCGAGGGAGAACATGTCGTGCCTTTGATGGCGATCGGTCGCGCTGCGTGTCCCCTGCTAGTCACCCGAAGCAACAGCAGCGAGTGGTGTTCGGCGGTCTTGTGCTAGTGCTAAGTACGCCGACCCAGGAAAGCAGCAATTGGCGGAATTCACTGCACTGTAGCCGTACTGCTGTCGTCCTGCTATCGTCCGCTAGCTCGCGGCGGTGGAGTGGAATCTGGTTTTGAAGGAAAACGAAGCAATTCGTGCCGTAATGGGCGACATTGTTGCAGTGGAAGGCATCTTTTCGTCAAGTTCATCTAGAGGATTCCTACGGGGGAACAACCCTTGAGCTACAATCAGCGCTTGAAATCGGAGTTAGAGAATGGGGAAAGAGATACCGCCACCGTACAGCAGAGTGTAGCGAATATCAAAGTCTAGAAGTGTTCCGCGCAATGGTGCCCCTGAGAAGAGAGAACTGCGGATATGGTCTACTGTAGAACGTTAGGGACGTCTTCACGGGGGGACAAACACGGGTGGCGGGCTAAGCAGGAGCTGCGGAGAGGGCATCCCTTTGACCAAAACGTTACTATTAGCGCCTGTATCCGGCTATGCCGTGCAACGAGGACACCCTCCTATGGGCAAAGCCAAGAGTCTCTCACAGGGTAGGTATTATAGACGCAGACGGGACATCATGTTGAACCCTTGCAGGATCTTAGATAGAGATTGAGTGCCGTCGACACTGATCTTGCAGCGGGGAAAAACGTGTTGTTCTGTTCCTGATTTTTGAGGTGCATTGAAGCAATGCTCTTGCAACCGGATGCTGGATAGGGTAGGGGGGTATGCCAAAAGAGGCAGGTGGCACAAGGTGGTGGTACACGTTCGGCCCCAAAAAGGTCATTTTCAATTCCACCACCAATGAGAACGCAATATTTAGGTGCTCGCAAGCTTCAGAGCTGCAGAGCAAGGTGCTACGTAGGTGAGCTTTATTTCGTCTTCTCGGAGTGGAAGTTTTCGTTGAGGGGAGGAACGGCAGGGGGTAGGTGATGTGGGCATGTGGCTACGGGGGGTTGGTTGTGGTCGTTGAGAAGGGGGGAAAACTTGTCCTCGTTGGCATATTCATTGCAGACGGGATTGCTTCTGCTGAGGTTCAAAACTTGTTTACCCGTTGGATGTACATGCCGTGCCCCCCCCCGTTGGCACAAGGCTCTCGGTCGGCGGAAAGATCTCGGAGTAAGCATGTGAAGATGTGAAGGCGAATTGCGTTGTTCGGGCGGTACCAATATGTGCCTATCGATGCGGTTTTTAATTGTTGTTGTCGTGGTGACGGTTGGTTGATGGTGACGTTGTTCTGCTGTATGCTTACGTCAAAGGAACAGTCGAGCCTACCTCATTGTTGTTGTTCTTGCTGTTCTGGACGTGTCCGGTCCCTTACGGAACGACATTTCGGTGGTCACGGTTTGGCCTACCCGGAGTAGCTTTGGAAACCAGAAGAAAATGAGGATGCTTGAACATGCGTAGACACCATAATATCGTTCGAGAAGGATTAGGGGGGCGCAAAAACACGTTTGTATGAAATAATAGACGGTCCGTGGTGGAGAGGTCACGAAACAACTGAAAAGCGACAGCGGGCGAACAATCCAACGAGTGTTAACATATTTTATTGTATTCGCGCCACGCCTCGGACACATTCATTCATGCATTTTTTGATGCAGACACCTCACGCTGAAACTCGAGGCAATTGGCCAATCTCGCTCCACCGTCCGTAATCGCCTCCACGTCTCCACTTCCGAGGTTGTGTTCGGGGGACTACGCGCGATCGAGGGGGTTAGAGAATCCCGTGAAACCGGCAGGTGTTTCGAAGGACTGCTCGAACACGTTGGAAGATTGGCCGCTGCCCTGCATGACGTTCTCCAGTACCTGTTCAGCGTAAAACAACACCTTTGCTAACATATTTGATGTTTCCAGGTCGGAAGCCGCCCGAAGCGAGGCAAATGTAGGCCGAGCGATCACAGTATTCGACTCTGTTGAAGTCCGTGGCTACACGACACAAAAACCTTTTGGGAACTATCCGCCTGCGTGAAAGGAGACTCAAAGGCGGTGGGACGGTGTTGGCGACGGCGGAGGTACTGAAATTTCAGAGTAGCTCTGTCGATGGCTCTCGGAGATCAGGTTGCACTACCTATGGTGTGCTGTCGTGCCCCCTCTATCAGCAGTTCGACAATCGCGCAGCCCCCCCAATGCTTGATCCATTGCCTCTAGCCCCTCGATGCCGTAGGCGCCGTCGAGAGTCACGTTTCCCCGCCACCCCTTTCTGTGCACAAGTTCACCGATGGACTTCTCCTCGCGACGGTTTTGCGAGAGTTTGAAGATTGTATCGAAATGAAAAGTTCTGTAAGATCGAACGTTCGGGGCATGGGACTGACTATACCTGGGCACGCAACTCGTGATGTGCTACTTGTGCAGAATCGCGAAAAATGGATACCACCAACAGAGCGACGAACAGTGCTTTGTGATCTCACGCTCGGTAACAACAAAACTCCGGCAGCAAGAGTTCAGGACCAAAAAGAGAATGAAGGGGCTCGAGGAGGACCTCGCGATCTGCACACACTACGTAAGCATCCGATAGGACTGACGTGTATCTGGTGCTTACGTAGTTCTCGCACACGGCCAGGTCCTCCTCGACGCCCTTCATATCCTCTCCTTGGTCTTGAACTACCGTTGTCGGAGTTTTGTGCCCTCGCCTTCAACCATACAGATGCCCTCTACCAGCGTCGACGTGACGGTGAAGCACAGGAGGAGCGGAGAGGTACGATATCGAAGCAACAGATAGAGGACGGCGGGAGGGTTGAAGGACTCGTGTTGTCCAGCCAGACCCGAGGTCAACGCGGGACAGCCTCATTTGCGCCACCGTGTCAATAGCAAGCGATGGACACCGCCACAACAATATACAGTAAACGGAACAGCAACAGCAACAGCAACAGCAACAACGTCACGAGCAGCCATCAGCAAGCGCAACGAACCCTAAGACGAATCAATGCGACGCCCACAAAATATGATACTCGGTGCTTCCCTTTTACAATCGATCGCACAAGAGCGTACCGGATCATCTCTGAGGCCTGTTTCGATCCCTGAGGGTCTTCGATGCCCGAGGCTAGCGTCGTACCGAGCTCCGCTTTCGGTGCGGCAGAGGCGAGACCTTTCACACGCTCAGCCTTATCCACCACATCCTCCACGAGGGCTCGAGTAAGGCGACGGAGTGGGTGTCCTCCAGGTATTGCTGTGCACGAGTCAGCCGCCGTCTGAGTCTCGTCAAACAATCGAGTGCTACAAGGGCGAGCGAGAGCTGAGGGTTAATACTTGTTTATATGTCGATCGTTCTCCGTGTGATCGGTTACGATGCAGACAGCAGCAGTGCCACCAAGTACGTAACGCTGTCAACTCGTTTCGGCGCTCGGTGTACCTTTTGAGTCGGACGAGACTCAGACGGAGGTGGATGCGTGCACGACCGACGTGGAGGACATCAACTACCGTGACGTCGACCTTGATCGAACCCTCATGGAGGATGTGGCTGAGAAGGCTGTGCGCATGGAAGGTCTCGCCTCTGACGCGCTGGAAGCGGGGCTCGGTACGACGCTAGGTTCGGGCTTCGAAGATCGCGAGGGATCGAACGCGACCTACGAGACGATCCGGTACGTTCGTGGAGGTTGGTCAGGTCGCCCTCGAGCTCCTCCCGCCTCTTCTCGCCCGCGTCCAGCACTCCCCGCATTGTCTCACGGGTGTCTCCCTGTCAAAAATCCAGTAGCCGAGGGGTAACTTCCGCCTCCCTCGCTCGACCCTCGATGTGTGACCATCCGCTGAACGGCTTCAAGTCGGGCGCTGTAGCACATGGAGAGAAGGGATGGGGGGTAGGGGCATGGCTGCCATCACCTCCCGGCTAATGCAGTTGCGATGGGGATACAATTGTGAGACAAGCGGGGAGATTCGCCCGGGAAAGGGCCTATCACTACGAACGTCGACCGGGCTTGGCTGTGATCCTTATCCCTCGGTGGCTATCCAATGAGTAAGAATCAGAGGGGTCGGGGGCGTAAGCTTCGTAGAGGATTCAGTGCGAGCTGCTGAAACTTACAGGACAAACTCATAGACACCACGGTGCGAACATCCCCACCACGCCCCTCCTCACAACAAACAACTTCGTCCTCAGTAACCATAACACGAGCAACAAGTAACACCGCGGATTCGACATTTGTCCCCTCCATCGTCATAACCGTCAACCAGCCGTAACAACGAACAGAGAGCCGATACCTCTGCAGGACACCAGAGCCACGCATGCAACACTCCGTCGCAGCACGAGAACGCTGGGGAGCTAAACATTTCTTCCCGTATCATTTGCGCCGCCCCGTGCGACGCATACCGGTCGTGCATGCCAAGCGCCGCGACCTCTGTGACGTGACAGATCATGGGTGCGAGAGGGTCTCCGTGGTGGGCCTTCTCCGGGGTGAAGAGCGAGAGAGACACAGACGCGTTGTAGCTGGGTAAGATCTTGCTGACGGAATACGAGCTCCGCTCGAGCGGTGTGCCGTGACGTCTGCAGGTCATCTTGCACCAGGCGGAGGGCCAGATCAGGTCGCTTTGCGGAGATCTCGGCAGCCAACTGCTTTCTCGTTCATCACACACAAACGCTTACCTGACTGCATCATAGACCGGCCCTTCGTAGACGTGATCGCCCGAGCCATCCCGGTCGACCATGCTCAAGCGACATGATGCGATAACGTCGGAAGCCTCTTAACGGGAGGCATGCACCCCTGATTGCGAGATCGCGTCCTCTCGTTGAGAGAGGATAAGTCCAGAGACAGGGAATCCAGTGACATGAGGTCCGCATGCGTATTCAGTATAGTTGCCATACACATCATGGAGACGGTAGGAGAGCACCGGAACAACAACCATCACAACCACCACCAAGCACACGCAACGAACCTAACGGAAATCACCAATACGACGCCGACACCAGCTGCTACTCCTGTATTTCCGTTTGGCAATCGATCGCACGCCAACACGCACCGGATCATGTCGTACCCCGCGTGCGAGCCCCAGCGGTCTTCGGTGTCCGTATGCCGGCGTGGCCCAGAGCACAGCTTCGTGCGCGACCGTGGCGAGGCTTTCTACTAGCAGCGCCTTCTCCGATACGTCATCTGCCAAAGTGAAAGCGACCGCGAGAGCACGCGAGTCCAGGTCCTCGATGTCGGCCCCGTAGGAGTCAGCGATCTGGCGAGCCTCATCCACCTACGTGGGTACATCGAGTTCCGGGAGTCGAGACATGGCGTGAGAGAGGGTGGGCGAAGGATGGGAAGTTTAAAAGGGTTGCAATGTGGATAGTTCTCTTTGGGCCAGGATACGGTACAGACGCCAGTAACAGTGCCGCCAACTAAACGCATGTATTGCTGTCGAAAGTCCTTGGTCGGTTGCTTATGTTGGTCCGGGACGAGGTCAGCTCGTCCTCCAGCTCCTTCCTCCTGTCCTTGCCCACGTTCATATGCCATGCAAAGATATGCCATGCAAAAGCAGAGAAAACCCCCCCGAAAAAGCAGCGATAGAGCACAAAGTGCAATATTAGCACACATGAAGGAGTCGTTCGTTGAGAGCAGACACGTTTGACTTGATTTTTGTGAAGACACGTCATAGCGGGCGCTGACCATACCAAAAACCGGCATCTTCTTTTTTTCTGACTTTGCCTCGCTCCGGTCCAAACACCGTCTAGCATGTAGGCGAGTCGGTGCCACTGCTGTACATGTCGGCGTCATCCTCTTCCCCGTCAACGTCCCCCTCGTCGCCACCATCCTCGGCCTCCTTCCGATCCACCGCCTCGCCGTCGCCGGCCGTGTCCGTGTCGTTCTCCCCGGCGTCTACGCCCGTCACGTTGGCGTCGCTTGGGGAACCGCTGCTGTCGCTGGTGGCGCTCTCGGTGCTGCTGTCGCTGCTGTCGCTGCTGCTGTCAGTGGTGCTGCCGTCGCCATCAGATGGCGCCGCTGAGTCATCGTCGTTCTCGGATCCCTGTTGAGCGAAAACGAAATCAGGAATTCACGGTCATCGTGTCCGGTGTCAACTTCGGAAGAAAATTGGGGGGTTGCAGTCGTAGTCCCCAGGCTAGTATTTGTGGGGAGAGAGATGGATTTGGAAGAGTTGACGCCGGCCTTCGCAGCTAACGCGGCCGGAGAGACGATGAGCGTTTCGTGCGTCTCTCTCCCCAACACGCAGCCCAGAAACCGAAGAAATAATGAAGCAATTCAAAAGAAAACAAAATAAAGGGGGGTTCTCCTTTCTTGCTCGCCTTGAGAACTTGGTCAGTTGGGGCGGACCTACTGGAGGACAGCCGCTTTATCAACTCTCAGGACTACCGCTTGCCTTTTCCGGTCAGTGTGATCGTACTTCAATAATATGTTCTTGAGAGCTCTGCTCCACATGGACGTTGGCACTACGCCATATTTCTACGGTGGGATCTCCGCTTCGGCCCAATTCTGATTTTCATGTGTCGGTCAAGTCATTGTTCCTGTACTACATGTAGGAGGATTGTGGGTGGCTTGGTGTTTGCTTTCCACGAAGTTGAAAAAACGTTGACGACCCTACGGGCAGGAGCACCCTCTCTTACCTCCAGGCCACCAGGAGCGAGCGGGCCAAACAACCAACAACAAGAACAGCAATAATGAAAGGAAAAGAACAACGACCAAGTGGTCTTAAGCCCCACCACTCGCAAATAAACAACGAAAGAGTGAAAAGCAAGTTTCGCTGCACGACGTGTAAGATACCGTTGGACCGGCCAACTCACGTGCCGTCGTCGCATCTGCAGAGGTTGGACAGTTGCTGTGCTATCATCTGCATTTCGTTGAATCGGGCGCTATTGCAGGACATGCAAGGACGCAGAGGGGGGCGCGTGCAGGGGACGAAATGCATATTTCATGTATGAATCCTAGAGTCATCTTGCCTGGTCAAGCGCAGCATGAATGTTGGAAACAAACGTTTCTCCGCGGAAATGAGGCTCAGTCAAGAATGACAATCTCGTCGAGGCAGCCATAGCCAGTTGCTGCATACCACCACATAGATAAGCAGCGGCCGAGATACGCCTGGGCAAACAACGCTTCTGGTGTAAATCGTAACGTGAGGGCGACCATGCATCGGATCGAAACGGTTAGGGACCGCACAGCAGGTGACAACAACCAAACAACATCAAGAATCAGGCAGGCAGGCAGGCAGGCAGGCAGGCAGGCAGGCAGGCAACCTGGCTGGTAGGCAGAAAAACAGACTAAAAAACAACACCAATAGCAACCACAAACCAAACACATTGGCGACAATGACAGGGATCATCTTCGACCCCGACAAATCTGCCATGCACCCTCCACCCTCGAAACCGACCACACAAAAAGGCCTACCTCAATACCGCCCCTTTGTAGACGTCATCGCCCAAGCCAATCCGGTCGACCATGCTGAACCGACATGATGCGCCGAGGTCGGAAGCCTCTTCACGGGAGACATGCACCCCCGCTTGCGAGATCGCGTCCTCTCGTAGAAAGAGGAAAAGTCCAGAGACAGGGAATCCAGTGGCATGAGTTCCGCGGCAAATTCCGCGTAAGCCGTCAGGATCCCATTCACTTGCGCCAAATGAGCGCCATGCCAACGAGACAAACGAGAGACATGGGGGGGGTGGGATTACCAAGGAGCTCTGTCGTTGGTTCTGGGAGGGCCGGGCTGCGTTTTTCACACTGCGCTTACAGGACTTACTACTGACAGGTGTGTCAAACGTGTAGCCTCAGTATGAAGGTGACATAGCGTCTCACCCTCCGCCGCCCTCCGTTCTACTGCAGACAGCAACAAACCTTCGCCATCGCTAAACTGCGTTTAGGGATCCAACAAAGTGATGTAGTGGCCGAAATATCGAGGAACGGGATTCATCCCCTTCGTTCCCCCGCCTTCAGGACGTCAACCCGTGGTGGCGTTTACTTCTTCCGCAATGATAGCGAAAGTACATATCACCAGCAGAGACGACACACACACGCACGGCGGTCCCATTTTTTCTCACACGCTCGGGCACACGATTTATCGGATTCTCTCGTGGTTGTGGCAGGTGATCAGGTTGTCCTTGACCGCGTTCATCCTTTCTTTCGTCTCGGCCTCGCGACCCATCACCCTTGCCTTCGCAGTCTCGCAACTCGACACCTCCTCCACCAGAGTCGACGCAGCCGTCAACACCAGTCGCTGCTCGGCCTCCAAGGGATCTACAGCACAACACGCGGTATCCAAGAAGCTGAGGTGTGTGCGGCGGGGGGAATCGGGGGATGTCATGACTACAGAATCAGATCAGATCTATATAATTCGGTGTTGTGCATACGTATCCCGTACGGTGTTGCCATAGACATCACCGAGACGGTAAGTGACCACCCCAACAGCAACCACCACCACCACCATCACCAAGCACGGTTAACGAACGTAACGACATTCACCAATACTACGCCGACACACGCCTCTACTCCTCCTGTGCTTCGCGTTTGCAATCGATCGCACGCCAACACGCACCGGGTCGTTGTATAGCCCGCGCGCGAGCCCCAGCGGTCGTCGTTTTCGAACGCGGGCATGGCCCCGAGCACCGCTTCCCTGTGAGGCCTTGGCCAGGCTTTCCATGAGCAACGACATTTCGGAGACCTCACCGTCGAGGGTGAGGGCAACCACGCGAGCACACGAGTCCAGGTCCTCGATGTCGTGGTGTGGCCAGGTCGCCGCTGGTGCCGGTGGTCGTGGTGGTGGCGACTGCGGACAGAACGGCATTCATGACGCCGCCTTGCGTGGTGAGGTCAACGCAGGAGGATATATGGTAAGATGCCCCTCCATCTCTCCAACTCCCGTTCCACACACGGGGCAGGTTGCGTAGGTTGGCACCCTCGGCGTCTCCCATCAGGTCCGAGAGAAATTTGGCGACCCCGGGTGTGCTTCTCAGGGATTCCCTGGAGACCCTCGGGGGGGGCAGTGGGGAACGTCATGGTGATGACGCTGGCATCGCCTCCTGCGCTGGCCACACGTGCCGTAGGTTCGTTTGCCCTAGCTCCTGTGACGACATTTTGCTTGGACCTTTGCTGAAGGTGCTTCTTCCCTTCGAGCCCTTCGTCAGCCACGCGAGCTTGGACGGCCTTCCCTCGATGGTGGCCTTCCCGTTCCCGTTCCCGTTCCCGTTCCTCTTCTTGCCCTTCTGGGCCCGTCGTCGGGCGGGTGTCTCTGTTTTCTCCCCTTGGGGGGTCGACACGTCGTCTGTTGCCCTACCGCCGCCGCCGTGGCCGCTGGCATCTCCGCTAAACTTGCACGCCGTGGCCCCGGCAACGTCGAAATCCGCTTCATTGGGTGCTTGCGTGGCACTCGAACGATGGGGACAGATCTGGACAGGTAGGTGGCGTCGGTCGATGACTGATGCAGCTCAAGCAGCCGCACGGAGTTTGTTCTAACTTTGGGTCGCTTCTTCTTTCGTGCTTCTCAAAGGATGACCGACTGAAAGGTAGAACAAAGGCCGTGTGGCTGCTTGAGCTGCATCAGTCATCGACCGACGCCACCTACCTGTCCAGATCTGTCCCCATCGTTCGAGTGCCACGCAAGCACCCAATGAAGCGGATTTCGACGTTGCCGGGGCCACGGCGTGCAAGTTTAGCGGGGATGCCAGCGGCCACGGCGGTAGGGCAACAGACGACGTGTCGACCCCCAAGGGGGGAAAACAGAGACACGCGCCCGACGACGGGCCCAGAAGGGCAAGAAGGGGAACGGGAACGGGAACGGCAACGGGAAGGCCACCATCAAGGAGGGCCGTCAACGCTCCTGTGGCTGACGAAGGGTCCGAAGGGAAGAAGCACAATCAACCAAGGTTCAAGTAAACGTCTCTCAACGTCCGCGTCACAGGAGCTAGGGCAAACGAACCTACGGCACGTGTGGCTAGCGTAGGAGGCGATGCCAGAGTCGCCACCAAAGCGTTCCCCACTGCCCCCCCCGAGGGTCTCCAAGGAATCTCTGAAAAGCACACGGGGTCGCCAATTTTCTCTCGGACCTGATGGGAGACGCCGAGGGTGCCAACTACGCAACCTGTCCTATATGTGGAACGGGAGATGTAGAGTTGGAAAGCGTCTTGCCATATCCTCCTGCGGTGACCTCACCACGCAAGGCGCCATGAACGGAGTTCTGTTGTCCGCAGCGGCCACCACCACGACCACCGGCACCACCGGGGACCTGGCAATCACCAGGACATCGAGGACCTGGACTCGCGTGCTATCCCAGTTGCTCTCACCCTGGCTGACGACGTCTCGGAGGAGAAGGCGTTGCCAATCGAAATCCTCGCCACGGTAGGGAAGGAAGCGGTGCTCGGGGCCACGCCGGTGTTGGACACCGATGACCGCTGGGGCTCGGACGCGGGGTACGACCTAATCCGATGCGAGTTGACGTGCGATCGATTGCAAAAGCGAAGCACACGAGTGCCAATTTTCCGTCGGCGTCGTGATGATGATTGCCGCTGGGCACGTTGCTTCAAGGTCGGCACAGATGTTTTGCTATCTCGAGGCACCGACCACGGATTGAAACGGTAGCAGTTGGGTCAGCTCGGGCAAATGCTGCTTGTTGGGCACAAGCCTTAGATGAAATTTTGTGGTTAGATGGTGAAATGGGTTCCAGTCTGCTGGGGGGTTTTCGACCTTGTCACAGACAGACACGCAGATAGACACACAGACAGACAGACACGCATGTCCATTCTTACGCCCCCAGTGACAAATATTCATGTTTTACGCGCATACATGTACATGCGATCCCTAAAACTGCGTAGTATTTTCAAAACAAAAAGCACCCCTCTGGGCCGCTCTGAAACGATAAACAATAAAAAAATAAAGATTGAGCTCCAAGCTATTTTCCCTATGTAGCCGGGTATTGCTCATGTCCGACGGTACACACATGTTGGACACATTTCTAGGTTTTATCGGCCAACTATTTGCATTCATTTGTCTTCGAATTCATTCGACAGCCGGGTATGTGCGTGTGTGCGGGTGCGTGAGGAGATGTGATTGCTGTGTTATACATGCCGTCCCTATACTGTAAATCATTATTTCACAGCTTCGTGTTACAGTGTGATGTTGGGCAGTGTAGCACCCAGCCAGTTGTAATGAGTTTCCAACGTGGGTAGGTGTTCCCTCATTGATTTTCAGTGTCTGCTATAGCAATGCGTACGTGGGCATGAAAACAACATCGAAACCCGCCCGCGAAACGCATATTGGCAAATCCTGGAACACAGCATAGGCTATATTCTCTAAAACATGAGGGTTCTAATTGGATGCTGGTTCACACGTTTCCCGGGCGTTTCGCCGCCACAGTCAGTCGTTCTATGACCGATCGATGTAGCGGTCGACGAAGATCGTATCAGCACGCACCCGGCTTTGGAAAAAGGTTGATCGAAGAGCGATGGATGCAGAAACAACATTGACGTAGAAGCAAGATATGAAGGGCAGCGCAGCTCGCCGTACGAATATGTATATCCAAACGCACGAACGAACCGTGATAGATTGGTTTATATCGCAACACGCAGTACGTGAAAGGTGTGTCATACTGCAAGACCTGTCTGACACACCGGCGGCAACCGGCGGAAGATTCACTCGAGTGTGACTGTAGGATAAACGAATGGGAACCAACTTACAATTTTCAAAGAGCGCACAGGCTGGTCATCACACTCCACACTCTAATTTCCTGTGTTCTCGCTTTGACTGAACCACACGCCTCCACAAGCACCACAACAATGGTGTATACCCACTTTCAGTTCTCCAAATTTCTTTCTGGGTGCTTGCCGTGTCTCAACCTGAACGCTGCTGAACCGTTTTAACCTGAACGCTGCTGAACCGTTTTCATCACGGTGCTTCCAAAGGCGAAGGAAACCTAGATGGTAGATGCCCGGTCGTCTGCTGTTGTTGCCGTCGATCGATGGATGCGATGGCGTTGGCGTCAAGAAAGGAGTTGAAATTGAATGTTTCTAAAGTACGAGAAACTTGCTCCATGACATGCCGCTGAGAGGCTGTTCCTATCTATGTTTGGGGTATCCACAACATTCGTGGTGCCAAGCGAGGCAGTCGTTATCCGGTCAACATCAAGCAAATAGGAGACAAACAAACCTAATACACAATCGCGCACACACGTTGGCGCACACGCATTCCTATGTGTACGAACAAAAACACCCATTATTCCTGCTATGGGTCACCCGACAATGACGTCTTCTTCTGCAGAGAGCCACGGTAAGTAGTGAGAAGATGTGGCACTACTGTACCAGGCCAATAACCCTCTCCACAGGGAAATCGCTTCCGGTCTTACTCTCCCGGAGAGTGGCTTCGTCCTCGTCATTTTTGCCCCTGTTGCCTGACGTCGGTGCGGGTATGGTGGAGGCATGACGGATTGGGCGTGCGGGCATGTGCGGGAGCGTGGGATCACTCGCGGACAAATATTTCCGACGATGCGGTAGAACCACACTTTCATACTTCCAGCGAAGAAGCAAAAGTCCATCGAGTGAATAGACTTTGATGTCACGGAGGGACACCAAACTAAGGACCAATTTCCGACTCGACTGCATCATATATCCTCAAGGCCGTCACCTTTGTCTGGTACGGGAATCATTTCGGCTGCACTAATTGACCAGCTTCTCTAACGAAAGAAAGTGCACAAGGTTGCTTGCGGCGGGACGCAGGTCGAGTGATCTTTCGGCGGCCTTCCTCCCTCTGCGTGCCTCTATAACCAATGCATAGCCGACACACATACCGTATGATGAGTCCGATATATGCATGGCCGACACACATACCTTATGATGAGTCCGATATAACCAATGCATGGCCGACACACCTACCGTATGATGAGTCCGATATATGCATGGCCAACACACATACCTCCGATATAAACAATGCATGGCCGACACACATACCGTATGATGAGTTCGATATAACCAATCCATGGCCGACACACATATCGTATGATGAGTCCGAGATGGTTGGCAGGCACAGACGTCCTGTGGCGTGGTTCATGATGGGCTACGTATACAAATATAGGTTTCGAGCGTGAATCCGATTCATCATATATTTCTGCTGGTGCAGCATGTCTCTTGAATTGTGAAATTTGAAATTGTTTCGCCGCTCATGCCCGCGCGAGCTGCCAAGGGACGATACGTGTGCCCTACAGCTGTTGTAGTACGAGACATCAGCGGTGAACACCCCACTGGCACCTGCAAAGCAACGGTGCGTGTGCGACTGACAAACGCAGCCTGGCGCGGTGTGCACGGCACGCGTTGTGCTACCTGCCGAGCTTGGAGTGAACATACGACTCACCTACTTCCTTACAGTGAAAATCCCAAACACCGGTCGCGATTTTCAAAGTTGGTATCCGTCACTGATCTCGGCTCACTGAGTAGCCGCAGCAGATCAGTGTAAACAGTGTAGATGCTGGTGCAGAACCCCCCCCCTGTGGAACCGTTGGGCACAGCAGATATATGGAAGCTCGGCCCGAATGTACCTGTGCTGCGCGGGAGGTTCGTCGACCGAATATTGTTCTCTCAGACGTGCTTGCGGCCCTCCCCCTGCTCGAGGTGCAGTTGAAACGTTGCAATGTGCAGTGAGGAGAATGGAAAAATCTCGGAGCCAGTCGGGCGAAAGGTGAGGATCGATACTACTACGGGCATTTTCAATGTACTTTCTCCAATGAAATTGACGCACCCATCTGTTCGTAGATATCTCTGTCACACCCGGTCATTCATTCATTCCGTGAGATCTCTGTCCCTATAGTTTCGATTTTTATGCCTCTCCTCACTCTTGCCCTCTCGTTGTATTGTTTCTTCCATGTACCTAGGGCAGGAGAGGGTCTCTTTTTCACAGCCGACTGACTGATGAAGCTACACTATTGACGATGATTTTCGCTGTGTTGGTGACTCGATTGATACTCTGAAGCATAAGTATTGGTGAGTGAGAGAGCTCGCGCGGTGGTGTGAACATTCTTGTTCCGTGATTTTCCTTGAAGAAATGCACCTTGGGCAGCAGAGTCTGGAAAGACGTCAGCGTGGTTTCTATTAAGTGTGTAGACGGGAAAAACGACAGCTACGAGTAGCGGCCATTTACCCGGGTGGTTCATTTCACAACAACCTACAGAGTAGCATCTTTTGTGACTATTGGAGTTGGGTTCGAGTCTAGGCGCAGTCACAGGACTTGGAAATGCAAGTATTTTCCCGCACCATGCCCGACCAAGCAAGTGAAAACACCAATCTGCACTTTGATGGTACACGACAAAATTTTTGCATTATGTTTCTACTGTAGTACTGTACATTCGGTGGACGAGCGAAAGAGGGAGTGCAACTCTTTTCGCGACAAACAAGGCAAGCACCAGCATCAAGAGGGCACCGGTGAACCACCAAGAGCAGGCACACGCCGAAGACCGCGTCTCCGAAACGGGCACAGCACAGAAGACCCCGACCCCAACCTTGGACCCAATATATGCAGGTTAGACCATGTACAGAACCCGACTTCACGAGATCAAACAGGAAGAACAAAGCAAGACAAGAAACACGACGCCCACGTTCACAGGGCTGAAAGTCCAAACTTTATTCACCACGCACGGAGGACAACACTGAACCCACGCTTGAAAACAGGCATTGCTGCCCCACATCAAACAACAATAGCTGAACAGCAATACAGGCCAAACCCCGTCTAGCGTAGGTGGGTTGGCGCCAATGATGTGGGCGTCAGGTTGTGGCCTATCGACGTCTACCTCGTTGCCAGCATCGTCAGCCTCCGTCCGGTCTACCGCCGTGGCATCTCCGGCTGAGGCCGTGCTGTCCTCGCCCGTGTCCACGCCCGTATCATTAACGTCGCCCCTGCTGTCACTGACACTGATTCTGCCGTTGCCCTCAGATGCCTCCCCTGAATCGTCCACGGCCTGTCCAGCAAAAACATACAAGGCACGCGATCAAACTATCCGATGTCAGTGCCATGACAGGTGGGGAGATGCTCACTTTTGGCTCGCCTCAAGCATTTGCCATGGGGCGGCACTACTGGGGACCGGACGGTTCTAAAAAACTCTTGCTGTGTTGCGTTTCGCTTTCGTTGCCGGTGTATGTGCGAACCACAACGGCAACAACAAACCATTATCGTACACACGAACGGAGTAGATCTTTGGAGACAAGAGTGCCGCCAACACCCACCATGGCATCAACAATCATCGACGATGCAACAATTTGTTCAAGGTCCCTACCACGACGTTGGCGCTTCCCTTTTGTCGTCGTCATTATGTTCTCTGAAGGTTAAGCCCATCACGACTTCCCTCAAGTACCCCCCCCCCCCCCCCGCCCGACCCCTGACCCCCGACCCTACTCCTCACAAGGCGGAAATAGCGAGTCGCTGTAGGGACAATCACACTCCGAGGAGGTGTGTACTCTAGAATTCCAACGACCAACAACCAACCACGTAGCACACTCGGTCCCACCACTCGTCAAGCGTCGAACAGCTGGTGAACAAAAAACAATTTTCGCTGCATTGCCTGAAAGACAACGTTGAACCAGCCACAATAACTCACCGTGCCCGTGCAGCTGCGCAGGTTGGACACCACGGCAGCGGTCATTTCCTGCATGTCCTCGAACCGTGAGCTGTAACATGCGCATGCGTGCAGCGGGAGGGGATCGTAGGAGGCCCGGTTGGACTCGTTGCTTGGCAGGCATACGCTCCACTACAGTACTTTGTTAACCCCGATTGGAGGGTCGAGCGCAACACGGCGTTTGGGAACTTCATATGCTCTGCGGCACTGTGGTTCGAGCATGACAACCTCGTCGCCGTGTCAGCCAAAGCAGCTGCTGGATGGATATCATGGGTAGCGGCCGACCAACAATGATAACAACCAACATCAACGACAACGGCGACGATGACCATGACCATGACGACATCAGCATTCGCCGTACACATGGATGTCAATACCAACAACACCGGACAGACAGACAGACAGACAGACAGACAGACAGACAGACAGACAGACGGACGGACAGACAGACAGACAGACAGACGGACGGACAGACAGACAGACAGACAGAAGCAATCCCGACGACAACCACGACAATAGCAACCTCTGCCTAACACAAGGACCAACGGCACAATCTGTCGGGCTTTCTCCCCCAGCAACCGATCACGCACAAACGCTTACCGCAGTCTATCGAGGACCTCTTGCTGCGTCTCCTCCACCCGGTCGGCGCGGTTCGCGATGCTGAAGATATTTGACGCCTCCAGGTCGGACGCCGCTCGGCGCGGGACAAACACCCCCACTTGGAAGGTGACTTCCTCAACGGAATAATAGGTATCCAGCAAAACCCTGTCGACGCTGGTCAGGCCCTCGGTGCACAACACCCAAGCCTTGTTGGAACCATCCGCCTGCGTTTTATGAGAGCCATACCAACAAAACAATCGACGGACAGCGGTAGGGGACTGAGATTACAGAGTGGTTCTGTCGATGGCTGTCGGGGGGTCTGCTATCCACCGTGTGCTGTCTAGCCCCCACTACCAACAATTCGACAACCGCGTAGCCGCCCTTCCCAATGCATCATCCACTGCCCTTAGCCCCTCGATGCCGCCGGTGACGTCGACCATCACTTTCCCCCGCCCCGCGCGTTCTCTCGCATCCTTACGGTACGTACAATTATGAATACCAACCAACCAAAGGACCTCTCCCGGCGACGGTTTCGAGAACGTTTCAAGAATGCTTAACAACGAAAAGTGCTACAAGATCGAATGTTCGGGGCATGAGATTGACCAGCTCCCCTCGTCCTGGGCACGCAACTGGTGGTGTTATACGTGTGCAGACTCGCCAAAATGAATACCACCAACAGAGCGAGAATCGGTGCTTCGTCTCACGCTCGGTCACGCTCATCGGATGCTCACGTAATTCGCGCAGTCGGACAGGTCCTCGTTGCGCATTTTCATGCTCTCCTCGGTCTTGGCCTTCCGGTCGACGGCGTCTGCCTTCTCGCCTTGGCACGTGAAGATTTCCGCCTCCAGCGTCGACGTGGCTGTCAATACCAGCCGCTGCACGGCCTCCAAGCGGGCGCTAAAAGGTGGATACGGCATCGAAGCACCCAAGGCGTGTGCGGAGGGGGGAGTCATGCCTAAATTTTCCTCTCAAGTGTCATCTCCTCCACCTGCCCACCGTGCTCGAGATAGAGAGCGGCGGGAGGGTTGATGGACTCGATTTGTCTTGCCGGCACTGAGGCCCAAGGGGGACATCTTAGTCGCGCAACCGTGTCAATCGCAATACAACGGATACCGCAACAATCATCTACAGCAACGATGTCACCTGCAACTACCAGCACGCACACCACAACCGAAGACAACTCAATACCACGCCCACACAAAACGTACCGGATCATGTCGTAGTCCGACCCTATACGGTCTTCCGCTTCCGGGGCGAGACCTCCCACGTGCACCGTCGTCTTTGCCGCATCCTCCTGGAGGGTACGAACCAGGTCCACCGAACGGGAAGAGATGTCCTCGAAGTCCGCGGCGCACGAGTCAGCGGCCGTCTGAGTCTCGTCCAACTAAGAAGGTGTATCGAGTGCCACAACGGCAGCGGAGACATTTCGGCGACAGAAGGTTGGGCGACGGGTGGATGTTAAAAGAGCTGCCGCGTCGATGGTTCTCCATGAGCCAGGATGCGATATCGACAGCAGCAGTGCCCTCAAAGTATTCATCGCTGCCATGGTCAAGTCCTTTGTTGAGTGCTCACCTCCTCCTCACACACGGCGAGCTCGTCCTCGAGCTCCTGCCGCTGCTCCTCGATCTCGGCTTCGCGGTCCCCCGCGTCTGCCTTCTCGCCTTGGCACGTGAAGATTTCCGCCTCCAGCGTCGACGTGGCCGTCAATACCAGCCGCTGCACGGCCTCCAAGCGGGCGCTAAAAGGTGGGTACGGCATCGAAGCACCCAAGGCGTGTGCGGAGGGGGGAATGCGGGCGGTATCATGACTAAATTTCCCTCTCAAGTGGCGTCTCCTCAACCTGCCCACCTTGCTCGAGACAGAGAGCGGCGAGAGGATTGAAGGACTCGATTCGTCTTGCCGGCACTGAGGCCCAAGGGGGACATCTTAGTCGCGCAACCGTGTCAATCGCAATACAACGGATACCGCAACAATAATCTACAGCAACGATGTCACCTGCAACTACCAGCAGGCACACCACAACCCAAGACAAATCAATACGAAGCTCACCCGAACAGCTACTGAGGTGCCTCCCTATTGCAAATTGATCGCGCACGAACGTACCGGATCATGTCGTAGTCTGATCCGTCAAGGTCTTCCGCTTCCGGGGCGGCAGAGGCGAGACCTCCCACGCGCACCGCCGTCTTTTCCACATCCTCCTGGAGGGTGCGAACAAGGTCCACCGAACGGGAGGAGATGTCCTCGAAGTCCGCGGCGCACGAGTCGGCGGCCGTCTGCGTGTCGTCCAACTATGAATGTGTATCGAGTGCCACAACGGCAGCGCAGACGTGCGGTGGAAGGAGGATGGGCGTTACAAGAGTTGCCGTGTCGATGGTTCTCCATGAGCCAGGATGCGACACAGACAGCAGCAGTGCCGCCAGAGAGTGTATCGCTGTCATCCCCAAGCCCTTTGTTGAGTGCTCACCTCCTCCTCAGACAAGGCAAGGTCGTCCTCGAGGTCCTTCCGAATTTCCTCACCCGCGTCCAGGAGGCGGTTGAGCTCGACCTCTCGGTCCCTAGCTCCTGCTTCCTTCAGCAGGCACGTCGCCTGGTCCTGCTCCCACCTCGATGCCGATGCATCTACCATGCGCTGCACCGCATCCAGGCGGGCGCTGCATCAGATCCGAAGCATGTAGGGAAGGCGGGAGGGGAGGGGGCATACGCTGCTGTTACCGACTGGATTTTCGATCTAGACACCACTCCGGGACAAAACGGGCGTATCAATGCGAATGTCCTCCGGGCTTGGGCATTAACCTCTTAGCTTTGATCCTACCGTGGCTATCCGATGGGTATGAACTGCAGGGGTCGGGGGCGAAAACTTTGCAGACGATTCAGTGAGAGCTGTGCTGGAACCTGAAAGACCACGCCATCACGATACTTTTGTCCTCAACCACAACAACAACAACAACATCAATGATGCGTCAACGGGATCGACAAATGGTCACCACCACCACCACCACCACCACCACCATAAATATCAACCAAGCGAACGACAAAGACAACAGCACAACCAGCCGCCACTACACAACAGTACACCGGAACCACCCATGCAGCAGCATCTCGTCGAAGCACTAGCACGCTGGAGAGGTACAGTAGCTTACCATGTCCATTGCGCCGCCTCGTGCGCCGCAGACCGGTCGTGCATGCCAAGCGCCGCCACGTGTGTGACCGGGCAGGTCTTGGGTGCGAGAAGGTCTCCGTGGTGGCTCTTCTCGGCGGTGAAGAGCGAGAGAGACACAGACGCGCTGTCCACCTCTGCGAGATCCCGCTCGCAGAACTCGAGCTCCGCTCGAGCGGCTTGCCTCGAAGTCTTGAGCTCGTTGTCGAGCTGGCGCAGGGCCTGTTCAAACCGCTCGCACTCCATCGCAGCGGCCATCTGCTGCTCGGCCACCGTGTCGGTCAGGGAGGCGATGGTGTCCCCGGCGGTGTCGAGCTTCGCACGGAGGTCGCCCTCCCTCCGGGCCGACCTCTCCTTGTCAGAAGCGGCCGTCGACAGGACCTTGTTGTTGGTCAGCTGCAGCGCAAGAATTTTCTTGCGCTGTTTGTTCGAGTGCCTCTGGTGGACGAGGGGGGATAGGGCAGGTGGACGAGAGGGCGTCGGTCGTGGGAGGAGGGGGCGAACGCTCGTTGAGACAAGGCGAAAGCCTGCAATCACGAGGAATGGAAATCTTTGGATCACGGAAACTGCGAACTCAGACGAAATACATACCTCTCCATCATTTCCATTTAGAGATTCCAGGACCTGCTGAGAAGGAAGCCAATACTCTGCTTTCCTAAATCTTCATCGCCATGAGCAACTCAACACCGCAAATCTCAAGTAGTCAAATCTCAAGTACACCCGTCTCCATCCCCCCCGGTGTTTGCTCTGAGAGAAACGCGAGCTCGTTGCCTCACTCAACAGCGCACACGACAACTAGGCAGGGCACGCGTCCCTCCACGCAACGGATCAGCTGAATGAAGTTCGAAGGCACCAGGGCAAGGCTGTCGAGAACACATGTGCTCTCAAACACACCAAGCATGGCCGAAAACTCGAGGCGTTCTCAAGAACTGGAGGGCATGTGTCTCGGGGCTTTCTCAAGAGTAGTCCCTCGGTTTAACGTCGCACTAAATATTGTCTCCCGTCCCCCTGGGTGTTGGCCTCATCTTCGTGTTTTAGGTTGTTATCAAGCGAACACCCACAAGAAAAACATGTGTAGCGCTGCAACCCGTGACGTCGGGTTTAGACAACATCCATTTACGAGAGGCTTTTGGGGGCACAAAACGGGCGACTGCTGTGGAAGCTCGCGTCCTAACGTCACTCGCCCCGAAACCACTTCCGACGCTGACACGGCCTCGCGTAGGCGAATTGGTACTATCGTATACCATCTAGCCGTAGGCTAGCACAAGAGCATCGCTTCAAGCTCAGTGAGTCTAAGCGGCAACACACGTGTACGGCTTTCCTGGCATTGCCGCCAGGCAAGCCTGCGACGGTGCAACATGTGTAGCCGAAAGTAGGAGTACCGGGGAGGTGGTGGTGCTCGATGACAATAATGGCGTAATTAACAACCAATCCATGTACAATAGTTGTTAAACGGGTAGAACTTACCGTGACAACAAGCGAAGCTTCCGCCACCTGGCGGACGAAGGCCCCGGGAAGACTCCTGTTGAATAAAAAAGGGGAACGGCATACGAGAAAAATCGGACGGATCGTGTAAGACGCTGGATAAGATTCGATACACACTCTGTAATAGTTGTGCTTGTGAGAATGGCGACCTGCACACACAGGGGTGGTCCGTGGCGCAAAATTCATGTTGGGATACGCCCCCCCCGGGCGTTTGTGGTACTGCCATATTTTGCCAACAGTCACCCCGAGGCTTGATCAAGACTCTGGGACTTGCCGCACCGGAAAAAAACATGAAACGGCGGGAAGGCAGGATTGGTTGTGAAAACACACCTACAATACTCCACAGCCCCCTTGCCTAGAGCCCCAAGCGTGCAGGGGGCACTCCAAAGATTGGATTGTGGCATGATTTTCTTTGTCGACCCTTCCAATACACATCTATCACCTGAAGATGGCGAATGCGCTCTGCTGATCATCATGCTTCGTCACGGCCTTGATCGCCTCGTCAATCGTAGCTGATCGGAGGCCGAAGCCACGACGAAGGAAAATTTCCTTCGACGTGGCTTCGGCCTCCGATCATCCGTGATAGACGAGGGGATGAAGGCCGTCACCAGGCACGACGACCAGGGGAAGGCCGTCTTCAGGTGATGGACTTCTATTGGAAGGGTCGACAACGAATACCATACGCCATATTTCAATCTTTGGAGTGACCCCTGCATGCTTGGGGCTCTCGGCGATGGAGCTGTGGGGTATTGTAGGTGTGTTTTCACAACCAACCATGCCTTCCCGTCGTTTCACGTTTTTTTTTTCCTGTGCGGCAAGTCCCCAAGTCTTGAGAAAGCCACGGCGACTGTTGGTGAAATATACACATCCCTCACCTGAAGATGGCGATCGCGCTCTGCTGATCATCATGCTTTGTCACGGCCTTGGTAGCCTCGTCTGTTGCAGCTGATCGGAATCCCTTCGTAGTGGCTTCGTCGACCAGAGCGCGGACAAGTTCGATGTCCGAGGGGGGCGAGCTCTTCATGGCCTTCACAAGCTTCCCGGCGAATCGTTTCTCGTCCTGATTGAAATTATTGAACGGACGGGGAAGATGTTTTTTTTAAATGTCACAGCAGGCGCAGCAACTACAACAAATGGCGTGTAGTCTATTCGGCGAACATGTGTAAGCTGCAGCAGTAGACTAGCTGTTGTTGGTGGGTGGGGGGAAAGATGAGAAGATAGACCACACTGCTGAAGACTGTGGACAATTCCTCTGATCGGAGGTTCGTTCGATAAGGTTTCGTTCGGATTCGATTCGGACACTCTCTCCCAAGTTGCGGTTGAACCCCACCACGTACATCACTGATCATGTTTTATCTATTTAGCGGATGAGCACATTAGTCTATTGAAGTACAGTACACGATTCGAATTTCAAATTCCAAATTTCTGCTCTCCTATGACTAGACTATACAGCAGTCACAAGTATGGATCTTGATTTTTTTTTTCGCACGATTTCCGGTGGTGCCAACTCTCCGATCAGCCCAGTACCAACGATAAAGTTCGTCTAGTGATGCATGCTGCGAAGCTGCGAAAGGAAATACAGTAAAATCAACAGCAGTACCTGCCAGGAGTTGGCCCTCGGTATGAATACTGAATGTGGAGGACAAGGCGAATTAGCTACACTTGCCAACAAAACAAAGCCGCATCGACAGAGCAGTATCTCTCCGGTGAGAGAGCCAGACACCACAAAAGCATGAGTGAATTTCGAACATGGAACGACAAGTAGGGTGTTTGCGGACTGGTTTCGATTTCAGTCTTGAAAGTTCGATGGAGACCATATTTTGACTTGAAAAATACGTTGGAAGTCGCCCCGAGCGCCGAAGACCGCCGGATCTTCAGGAATTTGGACTTTTTCTTTATGCAATTGCCCCCAAAGACCGCAGAAAAGTTGAATTCAGTCTTGCTCATTTTGGTCTTTGTAGGAACAGTTGCTGGTTGGCCGAGCGCCCCGTGACGGAGACGCCGTGGGCCTCATGCGGCAGGTGAAGGGTGAAAAGAGGCCGGGCGCCGTTTGCGCACACGCACTTGCTCCTTGTGGCGTAGCACCTCACGACACAACAAACGCACGTGGTGGCGAATCCAAAAGGTTCCGTGGCGATCGGCTTCTACAATTGCGTGATCTGATGATGAGTGAGAGTAGTGCGATGTGGCCTGTGCCCGCCGGCAAACAAATGTCGCAAGGAGACACAGCATGCACGGTGTTTACAGCAGCAGCAATCGTTGTTGTTGTGGGTGTTGCCTCATTCTTTTGGCGCAACAGACGAGCCTACTACAGCTAGCAAAAATAGAGCGCACAAATAGCAGATCATCATCTCTGTCTGTCCGGTGGCTCGGTGGCTCATCGTAGCGTGTACATACCTACTACATGCTGTGTTCGGCAGAGAGCTCTGCACGGACGGGCGAAGCAAGCGTGAGGTTCCTCCGTGCAGCATGTTGGAACGTGAGCAGGAAAAAAAGGGTAAACGGTACGATTTCGTGACGTCACATCGCATAAATGGTTGAAAAAATACGAAAGACCAAGACCAAATAGAAATTCGATCTTCGCAAACACCGTAGTATTCGACTGACTGACTGACTGACTGCCGTATTTATTTCTGGAGCCGAACAAGCTCTTCGTCATCATGTATGCACATGTGCAGACCATTTTTTCCCGTCCTCTCTTTTATGTATCTGCAACTTCACTCGCCTTGGCGTACGCCCGCTGCTGGCCCGCGACGTGCTGGTAGAACGTCTTCGGCATAGTGGGCTTCGCGGCCTGAAGGAGGGCGGTCTGTTGGGCCGTGACCACCCGCAGGATCTCCCATTCATCATCTTTGTTGTTCTGCCCGTTCGTCAAAAGGTAGTAGCATAGCAAACCAGCACACAGAGCGCGCGGAAAGCCTGAGCCGTCTCACAATAATTGCTGATGCAAAATAAATGTCCGTTCGTCCGTTCATATTCCGAACAATCAATTCACAATCAATCAATCGGAGAGTTGAACGGGCAAACGGGTGAAACATGTGCCGACAAATAACCTTCCGCAATCACGGTATATTGATTGATGTGCTGGTGTGGCTAGACTTGAAATGTTTTCTTGCGGTGCAAGGAGCAAAACCCAGTATTTCCTGAGGGGTGGTGAAAACGTGACAACAAGCAGACAACGAGCATCAGGCGTTCACGGCTATGGAGGCTTAGTCTAGTACACCCATTACCTATCTTACGTTGAGCAGGGACCATGCCACCCACCACACAAGCCATCTGTAACGTCCATTGCTAGTTATATTAGTAGAACTGCGGTCGTCTACAGCAGTAATCCTTCTAATAATGAGAGCTGTCTCAAGATACTGCGGCATAGCTATAGGCTAGTGTAGTAGGGCGAAAAAAAAAACGAAAAAAACTCACTACACTGCTGTATGCAGGCAGTAGTCTAAACACATGGGCAAGGAAAAAATGCTGAAAACTTCTTACGTCGTTGAGTTCGCCGCCCACCGCAACGCAGCCGGCCGCGCGGCACCCGCCCCTCCGTTTCTCCGCCAGGAGCATGATCGCCCCGGGCGGGCATCTGTCCTCCCACTCGGCTGGCGGGCAGGATTCGGCGGCACGGAGGCCCGATTGCTGCTGGAAAGCTAGCCAGCTGGCGGTCATGGCGTCGTCGTTGATTGCCGCCGCGTTGAAGCCGAGCTTGGGGCAGGCCACGGCAGATTCTCCACCGCTGTAGATGTGACGCATGCGACATCCGCAGGGAACAACGCGGACAGTGCAGTGTAGAACATGTCATGTCATGGACTGCACCACAATGTACTGACGGATGGTTCGACGGGGCGCGGCAGACACCACCCTCTACATCCAGAAGAAAAGTGAACGGTCTACCATAATTCTCCGACAGATCACGTGCGGGACCAATGAGCGGGGCAATCAATTCACTCTGTCACCAAGGAGTCGGCAGGCGGTATTTCCCAAAGGCATCGAGCGAGCCGGCCTCGCCCTCCACCAGCAGAGCAGAGCAACACTTGTCCTCTGGGGTGACGTTGGCAGGCCCGTTGACCTGGCCGTGTGCTCCAAAGGCGAGTAGCACCGAGAGCAGCAGCAGCATCCAAGCCCCCATCCTTTCTTCTGACAACGGAAGACATGAAAAAACATATTTCAACACAACGGGTGTCCCGGGTTTATTGCTGACAGAGGGCAACAGAGCCGGATCCTGTACATACTGTCAGCGAACATGGCAGGTGTTGTCTTTGCCATCGTCACGTGGTGGGCGTTCTGCGGGTCGCCGGTTGGTTGAAGCCAAAGAGAGCCCTACAAGGCAGGGGACGGGGAAACACCGGCATGTCGCTGTGCTGTGTTCTTTGGTTGGTCTTTCGTTCTTTGGCCGCTTCTTTTCTCCGGCCCTTTTTCTACGTGGGCGTTCTTCGTGGGGAAAATTTCAACGAATGCCAAAAATAGTAATTTTCACCCGCTGGTTGGCTGGTTGGCTGGTTCCTCTCCTGCCCAATGAGGTTGAGGGTTGCGTGCTTACCGCGCCCGGATCGGAGTATGACCTACAGTACCTGTGGATATATACATGTGTTACAGGCCAGGGGCGCTACTCTCCTCTTTCCCGCGGGGGGATACTGCCAGTGTAGGTGTTTCAGAAAACCCGTGGGGAGTTTGGTTTCGTAGCTCCCAGAGTGCGGCATGAAGAAAGGTGACGACAGAGGATCGGAGGCGGACGAAACTCAGCCGCCGGTGGTGGAAAGAGCAGAATCAGCATGACGTGAGATCCGTACGGACAAAGAATTTTCCTCTTCGCGCCAACCGCCATGGCGGAGAAGCCTCGAACCTCATTTTAAACTTACTCACTGCTGGTTGCACTCCTGCGCGTCTGCCTAATAGATGCTCATTTCTTGCCTCCCGCGTAAGTGCTTGCTCACGTGTGTACTTTGTTTGCTTGCCCGGTAAAATAGGGAGTCTGGTCCCGTCCCGTACAAGATCCGAAGCCGAGCGTCTTCGCGCGGCGGCTCGCAGTGGCACTGCTGTCACCGGTAGCTTGGATGCTCTCTAACTCAGACGCACGCTACAGCAGGATCCCGATCGATGTAGTGTGCTGAATGAGGGCAGAGCAAGAGTGAGGCATGCGTGGGCCCACAAAGCGCGTGCGGGGGTTCCAGAAAAGGCAAAAGATCCACAGGGGGGGGAGGGGAAGAATATCGCCCCCCCCCCTCAGGGTTCGCTTCGCGCTTGGTGATGTGAGAGCCTGGTCCGGTGAGAACCCGGCGTGCTCCGTCCCGGCTTTGTAGGGATGCGAGGTCAATGGTCTAATGACTACGGCATGCACGACTATGAGTACACCCCCCCCCCCCTCAGGGTTTGTTTCAACGTCAAGGGGAGAGAGGGACGGAGAGAGAGAGAGAGAGAGAGAGAGAGAGAGAGAGAGAGAGAGAGAGAGAGAGAGAGAGAGAGAGAGAGAGAGAGAGAGAGAGAGAGAGAGAGAGAGACTGCATCCGACTACAGTAGTGTAGACCAATACACGGTTTGAACAGTGTAAAACAAGTTTTCCTCCGATGGATCTGGTCGGTCAAGGGCTTACACTCCATGGTTATGATGAGACGCCGAGATATCAAAGGGCGGTCTAGAAAAATTACTGCCGCAACCTAAGGACAATAAATTCCCAGAGACAGCTGCACGGAAACTGAGATTACGTGTGCATAGATAGTGAAAAATATCAGTTAAGGTGTACCCGGGTCTATCTGCCGCAAGGAGAGTAGTGTCGGACATGGTGTGCGAAAACACTTTAAGGTGTACCCGGATCTGCCGCAAGAAGAGCATGTAGTGTCGGGTAGGGCGTGCAACTGAACACACGCGAAGGTTCGGATGCCCTATCAAAGTCTCCTTTGCGCATGTTTGCTCAAACGATGTCGGCTGCGCCGCCGAATCTACTGAGGAACCTATGAACTGGTTCGGCCTCTGCGTGAAATCACTATTGTGCCCATCTAATGAGTCGCTCAAGGGTTCTGCTCAATGGCGCCGGGAAAGAAGGAGCACTACGCTTGCAGCGATGCTGAGGCGTCGCAAGCGACACAGGTAGCTGCTCACGCCTGGGCCGTGCGTCAAAACGCAGTTGCTAGAGTACACGAATTGATCTGTTTCGGAGAACGGGCACAAAGTAGGCACCGAAGCCACTCAGATCACGAAACATCGAACGGGGGAACAAATGTCGAGTAGGGCAGGTATTTCCACAGCTAGCGTACTCCTTCGAAAATCTATGTACAGCGGAAACGCCCAAAAAAAATAGCTTCGTCTTCCAGAATTTGTGGACAGCAAAAACACATGACTACTCGACGCTTGCATGCCGGCTGTGACCCACTGCTGTGGATCTTCTTGAGAGTCGTCAAGGCCTACCGTACGTGGAAACCCAAGGACAAGCACCATCACACCGTACGCAAAGATCTCCAACAACACCGACCTTCAGAAAAAAACAGCAGACGCTAACCACGAATAACATTACATCGACCAGGGCCCACCTCTGGTATCCCCACTGCTGTAGCTGGCACCGAAACTTCAGCGCATGTCGTTTCCCTGAAGCTTACCGGAAACCAAGCACACGGCTGTGCCCGCCTCGTATTTCTTGTCAGTCAAATTATCTTATGGTGTGTCCGGATGCGCAGCCATTGGTACATTGGAACAACGGCCCCCATCACAAAACCTCACGGAATTGTTACGCCCGCTGGTACCACCTTCTCCATCACGCAAAGGCTCGACCCCGTCGTCCATATGTAAACCACCACGCCTTTCCAACAACCGATGGATGTACACCAATGAACCCTCTTCACAAAAATGAAGGGCTTACACCTCCGCCTCTTCGTCACTCAGAGCCCACCAAGAATCGCCACAACCAACCGAAACCTCCAGCCCGAACTCGAAGCCTACTTCTTCTCTCCCGTCTCCGTGAACCTCTCCTCTCCCTCGCCCGCCATCCTGGCTGCCGTCCTGGCCTCCGGATACACCCCAGCCGCCATCGCTAGAGACAGGTTGCGCCGCCGGTACCGCCGTTGCGTCGCCTTCCTCCTCCTCCTCCTCCTCCTCCTCTTCCGAGGATGACAACGACGCATCAGACATGTCTACTGGCATCGCCCCGTCCGCACCACTGGTCCATCTCGCGGCGTTGCTTCATGCCGGGCTCGACAATCCAGGCCGGAGGCAGTGATACCGCGGCTCGCTGGAAGCGGTGCTTCGAAAATCTCCGCTCGGTGTCACCACCGCCAATACCGACGACTCCCGGGGCGATTAGCCCGCTGCCGCCGGCCACACCCACCTGGGTGGAATTCAACGGTGTGACGGCATCGGTACCGCCGTTCGACCAGGCGATACTGAAGGTTCCTCCGGGAGGGCTCGTCATGCTTCGGGCCCGCGACGAGGCCGGTGACGGCGGTGGGGGAGAAGACCTCCCGCTCGCATTCTTCCCACACTCACGACGGCTTCGGCGGCGGTACTGATACCCCCTCGCTCCTCCGTGCCCACCTCCGAAGTCGAAACACCGGGGCTGCCGTCGTCCGGAGATGTGAGCGGCGCGTTGGCTGTCGCCCGAATCCGGAGGAAGCCGACGCCGGCACCGGTACTGCTACGATCGCGATTCTGCCGTAGTCTAGCGGCAGGAGCCGTCGTTTCCGGACAGCGCTTGTCGCTTCGAGCTCATCGGGGCCTCTCTCGCCCCCCTTCTCCGCTTTGGTTGTAACCGCCTAGCGGGGACCCCCAGCCGCTACCGCCACTGCCTCCGCCTTGGCTGCTTGGGGTAGGGGCCTCGATCGTGAGCACGGCCGATGTAAGTCGGTCGTCGCCATCCAGGCTGCCGTGGCGGCCGGCGCCAGCTGCTCCACAGCGAGCGCGGGAAGACACGACGCCTCCAGGGATGGCGGAAGCACTGCTGGCCGTCGCCATTGTCTGTGCCGCGGGGAAACAGTAAACACCGCGGTCACAAACATATTTGCGGTGAAAATCCAAACAGAGCGCAGTACCGCAAGCGTCAGGTAATGCCGATTGTAGCGTAGAATAGCCGGCAGCTGTGCCCACCCGCTTGGGGCTATGGGTGGGGCGATACGGGAGGAAGACGGCCAACAACAAAACTGGCGTGACGCATAAAAGCGAAAGGCAATCATAACAACGAGGAAACAAGAACATATTGCACGAGATTCCCGCAGCGGCAGGACGCTGGAGGATGTCCCCTTGTGGTCATCGATGGGTTCAAGAAAAATGCAGCATAAAACCACCACCATGCTTACGAACGCCTACAAGGTCCACCGCTTCTTAGGGGCTGCGGTTGACGAGAATTGTGTATCTGTTTTTCCGAAGCACTTTCACAGGTTGCTGCTCTTGCCGACGGTCATTGTCAACACTCCCGCGGGCACTGTTGACCTCCACTTCGTCCAAAATCAAAATATTCGGTCTTCGGTTATTCGCCACAACAAGGTCTCACTTTCAATCTCCAGAAAGCTCCAGCCGCTCTCCTAGCCGCCCACTCGTGGAAAACGTCTGAACTAACCCTGGCGCCGCACATGAACACACGCCAGCACGGAGGGCGCTACATAGCCTACACGAATTGTTGCAGTTCGCGACAACAGTCAAGAAAAGAATCGGGCAAGGGGCGCTGCAGATTCCGATCAGTCACGAAGAGCGGGGGGGGGATCATTGGCTGCAAAATAGGCCGCAGAGGGGTGGAGAGGGCCAGAGGAGGCGCTACTCCGCTCCTTATGCTTGTTGTTCGAAGACCTCTTGTTCCTAAGCCTACGTCAAGTATCGACGAACGACCAAGATTTACCTGAAAGCACGACCGGCGGTCATCCGGTTTTCTGAGTGTTTAAAAGTGGTCTTCCGGCCGCCCATGACCGATACATGCTCTTGATTCTTCCTGCAAAAATCTTTCGGCTCAACGCACGAAACTAATTCCAAGCCCATTCCCATCAACGCCCGCACCGACGTCAAGCAAACAAAACGACGGCCTGCGGACCCTCCCCAGCAACTACTGCGACAGCTTACAGAACCCCCCACCCCCCCAGCAAACGATGACACCGCGTGAGGCTTTTTCTCACCTACCTCAACCGTATCGCCACGGCGCTGTCCCCCCCTCTACGTCGGTCAGCGACGCCGTCGTCATCCGTTTGGAGAAGCACGCAAGCACCGCCTCTTTCGACATGAACTGCGCGGAGACGCCGAACTTCCCGAACATCATTTCCTGATCGGGGGCCGGGGAGGCAGAGCGGTTACACAGCCGATAGGGGTGATCAGATTGTTGTACATGGAATTATCGTCAGTGACGAAACTCACCTTCACTTGGATATGCTTTTCTTAGTGGCACGGAGGGCGGGGGGGTACATAGCCGGCGTTGCACATATTCTTGCGATAGGGAAGAGGGAGGGTGTAGCCGGGGTACATCACCCATCTCTAGTGCTACATTCAACAGGCGGGGGGACGACGTTTAAGATCGGACCGCCCACCCAAGAGGGGCCTCGGGGAGTCCTTGCGGAGTATGTAGCGAAGGCCAAAATGATGTCGGTCGGGGGCAAAAAAAAAAGAGGTTAGCCTCCTGAGGATGACCTCGAGTCCCCTTCCCAAGCTGTCACGAGTTATGTGCGACACTAACATAGAGAGTGTTGGTTTCCACACCACGAAATAATCGTTCTCGTTTCGGCGCGGCTCGTGGAAGCCCCCCGCACTCGCAACCAGCACCCCGACGGGGCATCCAAAGTGTCAGCCGGCCTAAATAGCTCAGCACTGCCTGGACATTGTCGATATGGAACAAACATGGGTCTGCGCAACGACCCCATGCCAAGGACAAAGTGGTATCAACAATGACAACAACCAACAGCAACAACGACAACAACAACAGCGGCAGCAACAACACCAACAACACCAACACCAACAATGACAACCACGCCAACCACACGAACGACTCTGTTGGCGCCCAGCCACAGCAAGCAAGCGGGGTGCTCACCGTGTGCTTCATCCGTTTCTTAGAAGAGTTGAAAGGCTTCTCCGAGATCAGGACCGGGTGGTCCCACAGCTTCGTCTTGAGTCGAGTCCGCTCAGCGTGTTCTCACACCTTCTTCATCAGGTCCCAATCCGTCACTGACGCCCGGACAAGGATGAGGAATACATAGCGCGGAAACAGAAGACATGGATGCCGGCGGCGTGCGTGATGTTTCAATGTCTTCAAACGTTTTCCAGCCGTCGCTGGTTCGCGCCACTGCTGTTACTTCGGCGTCAACAACCGCGTGCTGGCTTTCGACACTGTCCTACGCACAATTTGATTCGCTTGCATCAAAAGTCGTCGGAGGACGTATGTGTGTCAAGCAATTAAAATCGGTGCTGCCAACCTTGTTGTTGTGCAAGAAGACACATCACACCGCAAGGAAACGTGATACGCTTGTCGGGGTGCATCGGTACAACCGTTTTGTCACAAAAGAGAAAAGACTCATGCCGTCCGGGCCATGCTGCACAGCCCTCTCACTTAACTCTCCCTCAGTTTCCACACGGCCCACAGCAATATCCTGGAAACCCCACCAAAGGATGGGTCCTTGCGAGAAATAATAACGAAAGAAGAGCCGCCTCTCACCGAACCCGTCCTCCATGAGCGGCACTACATCCTTGTCCGCCTCGCCGCCCATCAAGCTATCCACGTGCCATCGATAAACCGTCCTCGCCTCTCCCCCCTTATTTCTCCTCTCCTTTTTCGGCGCCCCCGTTCTGCTTCCCCTGGGCCCTCTGGCTCCGCTGGCGAAGCTGCGGCCCCCTTGCCTCCCCGCGCGGGCTGCCCATTGGCGGGATGGGAGGGTGCAGCTTTCTTCTTGCCGCCCCCCGCTCTTGCGGGGCTCCCGGCGCTGTCGGCGGCGGCGGCCATCTCTGTTTCTAAGCGTCGCGTGGCCTCCAAGTCTACCGTTCTGCCAATCCGCTGTTGTCGGTGGTGTTTCGATGGGGGGGGGGGGGCGTACTCTTATGCTTTGCATGCCTTAGCGGTTAGACCATTGACCACGCGTCCTCGAGAGGACGGAGCATTGTTCCCACAGGACCGATCACCGATGGTCAATCGTTCCTTCCTACTTTGCCAAAGGTGGCTCAAAAATGTCTTTCCTAGTCTGTCTATCCTACCGATGTCACTTCCCGCTTTTTCAAACCACTTTCTACTCCCCAGTACCGCTACCGTCCTCTCCTCTCTATTCCATGCCTCAAACATCTCCCTGTACGTCCCTTGTATTCTTCCCAGCTCAGTCATGTACACTTCCCTCTCCTTTTCGTACCACGGACATTCCGCGACTACATGAACACTGTCTTCGCATTCGAAGCCGCAATCGCATTTGAACTTGTCGTCTTCGTCGTCTACCGTCCTATGTCTTCGTCGACGTTCGCGAAGGCCTATGTCCCCGGTCCTGAATTTGACCTTAAGCTTTGTCCCTGCATCCATTGGTCCATGTAGGTAATCCTTGAACCCTATTCCTTCTTTCAACATTCCGTACACTTCTAGACCCTCCTTATCCTTGGTTTCTTTCCTTAGATTCTGTTCTTCTCTCTCGGCACAAGCAACAGATATCTTCTTCTTGAACCCCTGTAGACCCTCCGTTTCCAGCGTTTCATCTTCGTCGATGTCCAATCCCTTCCATACGTCCTCTACAACCTTGACCCATTCCGTGGGTTGTCTACCCCTCTTTTTGTTTGCCCACTTCGCCTCCCATACTATTCTCGGCAACCTCTCCTCTCCCATCCCGCACATGCGGTACTGCCATGTCAGCTTCCTTACGTCTCTTCCCGACCGTAGGGATTGTAGGGATTGTGTTTCGATGGGGGGGCGGAAATACAAGATCTTGGTCATAACCTAGCTACATGTAGAGGGATCCCTTTATGTTGATGCCGGTGTCCGAGGTATTTTTCTGCATGCTCGAAAGGGGGAAACCTTACAGATACACACAACGGACCGAACGCTAGGCTAGTCTACAGGGACGAGTGAGCGGGGAAAGTTGGCATGAACGCATCCACCGCGTCACCATCTCCGCACGCCCATTGCGCCTCACTCCCCACCCCTCTCCGAATACGACACGGCGGTGCCCCTCGGTTCACTTTCTTAACGGTGTGAAGTAGGCCCTTGGAAACTACTCGCACGCGAAGCCCATCTTTGCACGAGTATGATCCAACATCCCCCACGACGGCTCCAACATCGTCTACTCGGAGGGGAGGGGGGGGGTGGGGGTGTGCTCATAGTCGTGCATGCCGTAGTCGTTAGACCATTGACCTCGCATCCCTACAAAGCCGGGACGGAGCACGCCGGGTTCTCACCGGACCAGGCTCTCACATGACCAAGCGCGAAGCGCCGTGAGGTATCCGGCGAGTCGCATGAAGGGTGCGCTGCATCCTGCTAAGGGTGTTCGGCATCTTGTGCTTACTTCCTTGCGTACGGATGACAGCTACGTATGACTTAATTTATTTTCTGGTGCTTTCACTTCCAGAGACAGTTGGAAGCGCTGTGTAACTGCCTCGAGGGCACTTGACCAACTTAACACAACGTGCGATTATCCCCTTTGCGCGGAGTGAGGGTTCTCGACCCCGCACAACATAATCTCGGAGGGGAGGGGGGGGGGTAAATGGTTGCGTTCCTTACTTCATAGCATGTTGACTGTTGGCCACGCCCCCTTCCGGGTATGGAGCGCTGGTCTAGCAAGCTTCCTAGTAAAAGAGAGTCGGACACAAAGCAACCCAGAAAAGGGGAAACGATGATGGTGTAGGAGCAAAGCAGAGAATGTGATCAAGTCTTGTCCTTGTGCACCAGAAGCAGGTCACTGTCGCTCTTCCACCCCCCCGTCGGTAGGACCCTGCAGTATAGGCAAAACCCGGTGTTCGCGCTTTTTACCCCGTTCCTAAGACTGAAATCTTGCCATCGGTCTGCCAGGTTGGTCGACGCCACCAAAACAAATCCACACAGGCTCACACAACGCCTAAACGAACATGAGTAGAGAGTAGAATCCTTGGTAGACATGTTCAGTTTTCTTCATCCGTTACCGTTTCTGTCTTACTCCGGAGAAGAAGAATAGCCCCACCCATGAAGCACCTGATGGGCTCCCCCATCACGGCCTGAACCAATGCGACAACAGCAGCGGCAACATGCCTGATGAATACAGATAGCGCCCGCAGTTAATAAACGTGAATATCGGGTCGGGCCTCAATCCCTTACTTTGGGTCGAAGGACCAGCCGAAGTCGTCCATTTTCTTAAAAGCCATTTCTTGTTACAACCCTAACCTTTGGACTGTCTCATCCTCCTGATTCTCTTATTTCATAGAAGACTTCGTATTTTCTCATTTTCCTTTAGCTTTGCTTTGATCTCTGAGAACAATGTACTTCTTCAAGCCCTCAAGAGAGGCGGTGGAGAGTGCCATCAAACCCGACAGCAGAAAGCATGTGGTTGTCCGCGATGTGTGGCAGTACGACAGTACAGCACAGTGAGCAGCATAGGGGTTCAAGGGGCGCTGAGAAAACAACCACTCTCCCCCCTACAAAAAAAATGTGTTCAGTTAGGTAGGGGGGTGGGAGCACCGAAGGAGCAGCAGTGGGATGTTTCTTACTGGACACGCTACCCCAGCTACCCCTTGTTTCTCATGGCTTGGGGGGTATCGCACCATCATGTTTCTTATTGGGACGTTTCTTATGTTGTGGCCGAGAATGAGCTGTGTTTCTTAGCCCTTTTTTCTTGTTTTTCGCAAAGACCTGAGCCTTTTTTCGTAACAGAATATTTCTTGACTGCGGGCGCTACATATCTGTAGACTAACTTGTTTTCCCCTCCGGAGGACTCACTGCTTTGCGACGGGGGTTGCGTGGTTCGGCGGCATCCACAGCAGTCGTTGTGAGAACATTGTTTCGTCCGGGTATATGTACCAACCTTTGAGGCTGGTCATCATTGACAACTGCTGACAAGCGCGATGGCAACTGGACTATGTATTCAGCGCTGACTGATATTCCCGTGGTCATTGAGCTCCTCAGCAGGTCCGTGGACTTGTTGGCAAGACTAAAAAAATGTATACCCCCTGCTCGGCCTGAACTCAGGTGAACACGTGCATGTCACGTTTCCAAGCATCAAACAGCGTGGTCAAAAGAGGCGACGGCGTGCTCCAGTGGCAAAAGTAAAGAAACCCAAACCGAAACCAGATCAGTACACTACTACGGCGACTCTATCTTTCAACATCGCAACGCACTGCCGGGCAACAGCGCAGCTTGGGTACTCCTACACGGACAATACATGGATTGGTGTCATGTGTGGCTGGGCTGCTGCGCAAAGGCCACATCAACGCGGAGCATGAACAGCACTACTCAAGAAGCTGGATGCTGGATGTTCGAACTCTCAAGCCTCGCGTGCAGAACATGGAGAGGCGAAACTTTCCGTACTCTACCCACGGCTGTTTGTGTAGCAAACCGCACACCCGTCATAACCAGAGAGGGTTAGAAACCTTCGTCAATCAGGCCTAACGCTATCTATACTGAACCGACGTTCCTGGTGTTCTAACGCTGCCTCTCCTGCCGAGACGCCTCGGTGTGACGACGGGGGGGGAAACAAAAACATCGACTTGTGTTAATAGCGTCTTGTGCACACGCAGTCAAAGTTCGAATCAAGAATCAAGCAAGGCGTCGACCAACAACGCACTACATGGGGTCGCCAGGGGGATTGCTGGCGCGACGTAGCCTGGTGTCAAGCTCTCTGGTGCAGCAGAAGCCCGCTCTATCTGCTGCGTGTCTCTCCTCCTGAGGCCATCCAGCATCGTGGGTGGTACATGACATATGACTACCTGACCGACATGAAAGTTCCGAAGCCTCCAGACCTCGTGCCAAGACGAAGACGCCCTCACATGCCACCCCACCCGCCAGCGAGCACATCAGCACGGCGGAACCTTCCTTTGTCTACGACATACTCAGCTATCCGCTCCCACCGAGATGCGTGCACAGGGGGAGCAAGCAGCAAGCGGCAAGCAGCAAGCAGTGTGCATATGCGGCGTAACCTCTCTGCCGGAACCTGCGATTACTCGCCGAACCGTTGCGTTTCGATCTGGGAACCTGAAACCGCCCAACTTTTTTTCTGTCCGACGTCACGGCGCTGTGCGACGTGCAACGGTCGCGGAATTCCTCCTCCCAACACAGCCCGCCCCACACACAAGTACAGACGGCTCGCCGCCAATCTGAGGCTCGTGCCTGGTCGTAGAAAATGTTACCCTACAAGAGGGACAGCCCAGCGCCCCAAGCCGTGAGTGCCGAAGCGCGGTGCACGCGTTGAAGAAACTGCTGCTGCCGCACGCGTCTTCTCTCGGCCGGATGCAACAGGGTGTACCAAGTATGTTTCTACAAACCCCACCAAAAATCCTTGATCAAAATGTTGTAGGTTAGGGACACGTTCACAGAGCGCTCTTACAATGGGGAGAGCCACTGTAGTTCGGTGGTCGTTTGGCCCAGAGCCGCAACTCCTGTTCTCTACATGTAGGAAGAGGCCCTCGCGCCGCAGTTCACGCCGTTCTTGTCCAATCACGCACCAGCGCATGTAGAATCCAATGCGACGGCATGTGCTGCCTTCCTTGATGCTTCGGGCTTTCAAGACTACAACACGGCGAGCAACCTACCCTCAGTGCTATCGTGATGCATGCTTAGGAGGTGCCCTAATGATGTGGTTCGATGGTGTCATCGACTAACTCTACGGTATCGATACTTGTACTACAGTACTCTGTTCAATCGCCAACCGCATTTACGGTTGTATCCGAGCATGGATCACTGGACGGATTCCGCGAAACGGAGTTGTAGAGGTATAAGCTCAATGTCGAACACGCCGTGGAGACCTCACGCCGTATCTCTATCGGAGAATGTGGGTCGGGTGTACGGTGCCTCCATCCATTGAGCAGTTTCTCGTCATCCAGCGATAGACAAAATAGACTGTATTGTACCATAGAAGTACAGTCTACAACGCACAATCAATAAAACACGAACGTGGCACGAATAGGGTGTGACTTCAGTGAGGATGTGGCATTGCACGGGTTCTTCAACATGCTCGTGATTTTTGGTGATACATATAGCACGCAAGACGACAGAATCAATCACTGCTTGATCTTGTATACAACTGTTACAGTTCGAACCAGAATCTGATTCGAAGACGATCGTCGCTGTATGTAGTTTGACCCCAAAAGTTGCCGCTCAAGCCATCGAACTTCTCTCATTGATTACTTTCATTTGTTGGCGTCGTCATTTTTCGGCTTCTAGGCCACGCGTCTGGGGAGAGAGACATAATATGGAATGTACGTCATCTCGCCAGCCACTTTTTTGGGTCGACAACATCCATGGCAGGTAGGTTCAGTTTTTTTTTTTATTGCCTCCACCCAGAAAGTTGCAAGAACCCAGGATGGTGCCCATCCATCCGGATTTTCAGACCCAAAACGTTCACCGCTGGTGAACCTAGACGACATAACCGGCGAGTGGGACCTGAGTTCTTGACATATCGCTCCCGTCAAGGGCTCCCAGCAACCCTACGCTGAAGGGCTTGCTATTCTGCACGCTGACTGTTGATGGTCGCTCGGCACGCGTGAGTGAAATAACATACCGCATCACACCAAGCACGGAGACGCCGAAACAGGCCAAACCGCGACGAGACAGCAAAAAGAGCCGCTTTTTATCAGAGAGGGGAGGACACCGCAACTGATTTCTCGCTCCCTAGGCCACCGATCGAAGACAGACCGGCCAGGGTATGCTCTCTATTCTTTGCTCACTGCCTGAGTAGATTTGATTAGCAGCACGTCTCTCAATCGACAGAGAGAAGAATGCGCGTGGTGTTGTTGCATTTTCGAACTGTGACTTTTTCGGCTCTGCTTCACTTGAGAATAGACCGATTTGTTGAAGACCTGAAAACAGCTTGCATCGGACAGCTTGTGCACACGCAGACGACGATTTCGAATGATTGGATCGACGAGCTGTTGAGCAAATCTACTCCGGCAGAGAGTAAAGAACAGAGAGCACACCCTGACCGGTCTGGCTTCGATCGGTGGTCTCCCCAGAAATCAGTTGCGGTGTCCTCCCCTCTCTGACAAAATGAGGCTCTTTTTGCTGTCTCGTCGCGGTTTGGCCTGTTTCGGCGTCTCCATGCCCGGTGTGATGCGGTATGTTTTTGTACGCACGCGTGTCGAGCAACCATAAACAGCCAGCGTGCAGAAGAGCAAGCCCTTCAGCGTAGGGTTGCTTAGAGCCCTTGACGGAAGCGATACGTCAAGAACTCAGGTCGCACTCGATGATCATGTCGTCTGGGTTGATCTACACCCACCCCCCCAGAATCCGCCCGACGAACCCGGTTCACTGTAAGGACGGCCGCACTTTTTTCCAGCCCGAATTTTGCCGATTCTGGAAAGTAAGTGATGTTTTGGGGATATGGAATCCAAATGTATAGGAATCAGCCTGAGGACCATTCACACGAAAAATGCTCATTTTCGATATAATACATAATGCAGTGGAATGTTCAAACCCTTCGCCACTCCGAAGAACCCGCAAGCAGGCGTTAGGTCGTTCCGCAAAAGCAACCCACATACGCGAACATGATCGCTACTCTAGTAGTCAAGAGTACGGAGACGCGATCATGCCTTGACTGATTGGCGACGACGCCCGGGTATGTATGTTCTTCAAAGGGAAGCGATCCTTCCTTGTGCTTGAAGGAACAAATCACAGCCAGCAGAGGCCACGATAATGTTTTGGTGTATGTAGGTTCGAAATGAATGGCGTGGAGTGTTTTGTGACACAACACCGTTCCTGTCATTTCCGTGCCCGGTGGAGCATGAAATTTCACTCCGTGCAAACTGATTCACTCTTTTGGGGGCACGTTGAGTGCTTATCGCGTCTCTCTTCATACCGATCGGACAGTATTCATTTCTAATCACGTTCAGGTTTTCAAGCGTCACTTCACTCCGGCGTTCGGTGAAGCTGTCGTCCTCGTTTGCGATGTCAACTCTGCAAGGAAGGTGAAAGCCGAGATCACGGGGCCTGGGCATCGTGTGAGAACGTATCATACGTTGGTGACGTCTCTCACAGTTGTTGCGATTGTGTGTGCTTCGCACAGAATGGAAGTACAGCTTGCTGAACAAAACTTGTCTACTCCTCAAAAACAACAAAGCACAATAGACACATCGTCATTGGAACTCGCATGACTCCTACCTACATTCCCCCACGACATGCTTCATCCAAGAAAATATCGACGGCCATTTCGTGACGAAATATTAGAAGCAAGGATTTGCGTATATTTAGAAGAGTACACTACAGCATGTGCCAACTGGTCCGCTTTCCAGATAACCCGAACTCAACGAACGCTCTCGCCCAGTCAAGGTAAACTCCAAACAACCCATCGTCAATGGAACACTTCGTGTAGAGCACTAACGCTATCGTCGTTTTCTCTCACCACTACAAACGCTCTCCAACGACAATACTGTTGGAACTTCGCCAACCTTGTTCATGTACGTAGCATCACATCACACCTACCCGGGTAGGAAATTGTACAGTCATGTATACAGTGCACTCGCCAGTCCAACAGCCACCCACCCACCCCGTTATAGCAAAACGTACGTGATCAACGAGCATCCGGCAGTATGTCCTTTGACGAACTGGACACGCAGGTTGCGCTCTTTACTGAGAATGCAACTTGACCTCGCTCTATTTTGGCAAGTCGACGTGCAACAACAACAACAACCACCGTCACTTTCTCCCTGGGTCTTCAGGTATGACCAGGCGTAAAATACAACAAGGAGGACAACGACATGTGGATCTCTTGTGCGTCCGAAACCACCGCACACTTACGATGCGCTGAACGGCACTACCTCCTTTGTACGTGCGTTGGTGAGGGGGGGGAGTGGACGTGTGAAGGCGGCGTGCGCCAGGTGTGTGGTAGAAACCACAAGCGATACAGATAGACTATATGCCATGCGGAGCTAATACTCGCAGTAAACGATACAAAAAACAGCCCCCCCTCCCTCTCACTTAAATGTAGTGCACACGAACAGGGGTGCTGGTGTGTACATTCGTGGCTGAGATCATCAAACTTTCACTCTTCTTTTCACGCATTACCTTACGTGGTTGCCTACGGGCCACACACGACTTTCGGACCGAAGCACCCAACGGCTACCGCGAAATGGTGCCGGCCGACTTAAGTCCTCTTGCACAGTTGCACAATGTGGGCCATCCCTGCTGCACGCGCCCACTGTCAATAGAGCGGCCACGGCACAAGATACGAGATGCGTCGTGTGCCTACAAAATCACAGAAATGCCAGAATGGATCACGCAGCTACATGAGTGAATTCTATCCCACTCTCCCCTCTATGTCCCAAGCGACAAACCGGGCCTGATGATGGTACATGTAGTAGATCGCCACAACTCAAACCATCCCTTTTTCCTCTCTCTCTACCGAAAGGTCCAGAGACTGAATGTTCAAGACAATCGAGGCGACAGCCTGAAAAAGCAAAGAACACGAAACAGAGTCTCGAGCTTGAATACCATCTATGAAAACTAGAACACGATCGTAGACCAATCATGTCTTCGTGATATAAACTGCCAGGCCTGCTGGATGCCTGGGTTGATGACGTGGTCGGTGGTGGTTTTCTGCTCAGCAGCTGGGTCGTTGTGTAGGTCGCTCTTGCTTAGCGGTAGTCACCCTCCATCGGGCGGCACTGTGATTGAGGGAGGGAGAGAAGATGGCCGGGTGTTAGGGGGGAGAGAGGCTCGATTTGACCGCATTTTCGACTGCAAAACTGGTATTTAATTGCCTTCACAAAAAACGGGGGGAAATCCACCCTACGTAGTTGGCTTGTGACCCGTCAGTTGGAGCAGTACGGACATTAGAAGGTACATAGCGGAGACCGGAAAGGTATATAATGTGAAGACAACAACAACAACAACAACAACAACAACAACAACATAGACTTACTGTCCCTCATTCGTGCTTGCAGATATTTCAGCGACCATCTTTTCGTGACGCACGCCACCGGCATAACTGGTGGGACACCCGAGAGGTTTCCAAGCACCAAAAAAGACAACCAGGCCAGACGAAGAAATGACGCCCGTCCTCTCACCTGCGAGTAGCAGGTGCTCTTGCCCATGAAGACGCACTCAAGACCCTCTTCGCAGCAGGTGGAACCGGTCCAGCCGTCGCCACCGCACTGCTCCCACGCTTCCACAGGCTCGCCCGAGCACTCTCCGGTCGGAGCGGTCGACACAGGGGCGGGGGTGTCCCCGGCGACAGGTGCGGCGGTTTCAGGCGATGGGGTGGGAGCGGGGAAGTCGCCTGCGGGTAGAGTTGGAGCGAAGGTGGAGGAGTCGTGGTAACGAATCAACAGCGAAGGGGCGTAGGGGACGAATGAGAAAAAAGGGTGCAGAGCGAACGCGGTGGGACACACGTCTGACTCCGTACGCCACCGCTGCACAGCGACAAGCCAGCCGCCAGGCTATTGGTGCAAACCATAAGTACTATTATAGACACAATCATCGTTTTCGCCACCCTGCTTACCGCCGATGACACACGGGGCCTCTCCGCACGGCCTGTTGGCGTCGAGGACAGCGGTCTCGCAGCACTCGTCAGACCCGAGCTCCAGGTCCGAGGCCACCGTCGAGCACCCGTCGCCTCCGCACTGGCCACAGGCCGCGACGCAGCACGCCCCCTTGGAGGTCTCGATGCCGGGGACGCCGTTGCTGCACGTGGACGTCGTCGGCATCGACCCCCCCGGGGAGGTGGGCGCGCTCGTGGCTGCCGCCGTGGGCTCCTCGGTCCCGACCGGCGAGCGAGTCACGGGGGGCGTGGTCGGAGCCTCCCCCGTGGCGGTGGGGGCCATCGTCGGGGTGTCCGGCGAGTCGGTCACCGGAGCTGTGGTGGGGGCTTCGCCGCCGTTGTCGTACTTGAACAAGCTGTAGGCATCGTATCCACCTTTTTGGGGGGGGAAAAGGTTTTAACAGCGGGGAAGAGGGGATAAAACGGGGGGGGGGGGGGGGGGGGGGGTGAGGCGATCGGATCGGACTGGTTTGCTCCAGGAAACAAGAACGTGAGAACGACGGGCGGGATGATCAACGCCAAGAGCATCGGCTCGGATGAAAAACGGCCGGCGAGTTTCAACGAACAGCTGACCCTCGTCCACCGCGCATTACCAGCAGCAAGAGAACCAAGCGCACTGCTGTGTACACGACACCAAAACCCGACTGGAGCGAACGCACTCACCGCAGGCAACCGTGCCGTCTCCCGAGCAGGCCATGTGGCACACTCCCTCGCCGTGGCGCTCGTAGTCGGCGTCGTCGTCGCTCGTACCGCACCAGCACTCGCTCGAGAACTGTCATGTCGGGATTGTTTTGGTTCGGTCACACGAGGAGGTACTGACCACATACACCGTCGGGACACCAACGATTTCGCTTGGTGACTCTCGAGGCCCGCGAGAAGGGCACATATTCTGCAGTGATGGGTATATATGTCAGACGAGCTTGCAGATAGATCTGTCGGCGCGTGAGTACCAAAACATACGAACATGCAACACACGAACGATGCACGCAAACGTACACACAAGGCACGTCCTTCCCCCATCACATCCTGTCACGGGGTCCCACATCACATGACGGCCTTAACAAAAACGTTTTCCAGTCTTCGGCCAAACTGAGACTGACGCCTTTTCACTGGCCAGCAGGTACGTACATGTAATAGCGTGGTCGATGATTACAGTAAAACACAACACACGGACACACACACACACCTGAGTGTCTTTGATCCAGAGAATCGATTAATTTCCCCCATGCCGCCCCCTCACGGGGTCCCAGTCAATGGCATATAGAAGTGTTTCGTGTTTTCAACCGCACTAAGACTGACGTATTTTCGTTGATCAGCCGGTTAGCGCGGTCGATGCTAATAATAAAGACACACACACACACACTCACACACACACTCACTCACTCATTCACTCACACACACGCACACTGTTTTCAACCGCACTAAGACTGACGTCTTTTCATTGGTCAGCCGGTTAGCGCGGTCGATGCTAATAATAAAAACACACTCACACATACACACACACACACACACACACACACCTGGGTGCCGTAGTACGGAGCGTCCTTGTCCGCGCAGTGCTCGCGGCAGACCGCCGCGGTCATGTCGTCGCTGGAGATCATGTCCGACAGCACGCGGTCGCCCTTGTTGTCGGTGTAGCAGCCCACGTACTCCTCGTCCTCCGGCGCGGGGGCCCACGAGAGCCTGTAGAGGTTGAAGCTGTGAACACCGCCGCAGGTCTCACTCTATTGGTGAGGAGAATTAATTTATTGAGGAGGGAGGGGGGGAGGGAGGGAGGGGGAGGGGGGGAGGGGTCAGGGCTAGCCTACCAGCAGGGTGGTGGGGGGAAGAGGGCTCGGGGAGCGGGGTTGCGTGCCCGCGGTCTAGAGGGTTCATTTTGGCCTATTGAGGCAGAAAATAAAAACAAAAGTGCACCGCATGCGCCAACATGTACATGTCGTAGCCGTTGCGAGGTGTCACGTACGTTGTGGCTGGTTGTTGGCCTAGCGTATTCCAGGTCATCGTCGTTAACACTACCTGAAGAGGAAGTACTACATGGCACCGCACAGGTAAAACACGCACGGTCGGTGGCACGCCACTGAGGAGACCGCCGCCTTTGACCTCATCAGTCAACAGCATCAATATTGCGCTGCAGAGAAGGGAGGTTTTTGGAGCGCCGTGTCGTCGATGTTGTGCCACCCACCTCGTCGCCTCTGCAGGGGTAGTCGCAGACGCCTGTGTCCCCGTGGCGGTCGTAGTCCAGGCTGCCGTCCCTCGAGCACCAGCACTCCACTCCCCACTGGGTCGCCATGTAGGCGGCGCCCTTCGTCGAACACGTCTCATAACACAACTGCGTATCAGGGAAGGCAGGGAGGGGCAAAGGGCCAACCCCCAAGGGTGAGACAAGCCACAGCAGTAAGGCCAAAGTTTCCCCAACGACGATGTGGCTTGAAGCGTTCGTTCCAAGCGTTTCCGGTTCCCGTCACAAATAAATGGATTTCGCCGTTTCGCTTTTTGCGGAAGGTTCGAGCACCTCCTCTATACGATCGATACGTTCACGCACGCCCCGAATACACCTCTCGATGAGATGAAAGACGAAAAAGAAAAACTAACCTCGGCGGTCATGTCGCCGGAGATAAGCCCGCTCCTCTGCAAGACGCGGTCCGACTGGCTATCTTGGAAGCACCCCACGTGTTCGTAAGCGCCGGGTCTGCCTCCAGGCTCACTTTCGGAGAAGTCGTCCGAGGAGGAAGAGTCTTTCCGTTCACCATCGTCGGACGGACCCAGTTGGTCGTTATTGGTCGTGGAGAAAAGCATCGGGCGAGAGGGAAGAAGAGAGGGAAAGTGTGGGAAGCAATAAGTTGAGCCATCTCTGTGTTTGCGCTGACTCAAGTACAGCAGAAGGCCGTGCCTAATTATTTACGTGCGATAACCCGCGAGCGACAGGAAAAACAACAATGGTATCATGGGATGAGGCAAGTAGTTCCTTGTCCATCGAAAATAGATAACTGGTAGATGCCCCGAGGGCGGTGCCCGTCTGCAATAGTAAACTGATCTGCGCCGTGCGGGTAGAAGCAACGTGTGCGTTACCAGGTCGTTCCTCCTCCTTCCGCATAACGGCCCAATAACTAGTTACGTATTTTCGCATCGCTCCACGCGATTGCAGCGGTGTGCAGCTGGTTTGTTTTTGCCCGCCCGAAAGGTTAGGACACCACTCCCCACAGCAACAGAATGAAAGCTCTCTCACCACCAGAGGCGGGCTCGGCAGTGGGGGCCATGACGGGCTCAGCAGTCGGAGCCATCACCGGCTCAGCAGTCGGGGCCATGACGGGCTCAGCAGTCGGAGCCATCACCGGTTCAGCAGTCGGTGCCATGACGGGCTCGGGAGTCGGACCCATCGCCGGCATTTCGGTGGCGGGTGCTGCGGTAGGTTCCGGCGTCGTTTCTGCATTGAAAGAGGATAGAGCGGCGCGATACACACTACGTCAGGGGCAGGAAGAACCATCCGTGTGACCACAAACAAACAGTGACGCGTGACGCGAGCTTGCCGGATGTGTGTCAGGACGACACGAAGGTGGGCGCCTTCAGCAGCGCAAGAGCAATGAACCTTACAGCACAGCACTAGTTTTCTCGCGACCTTGCTTGATAAACAATTGTGAGATCCCGCCCCCAGTGACAACCACAAAATCAACAGGGCGGCGTTGTCATCACGCACCGTCGAGGACACAAGGGGCTTCTTCCGACACGCTGCACGAGACTCCGGTGGAACGCACGCCCGACTGGCAGCAGGACTCGGCCCCGTAGTCGGGACGGCCCACGGTGGAGCATCCCTCGCCGCCGCACTGCTTGCAGCCGACCGGGCAACAGACGGCGCCGTCGGAGGACTCGATTCCGCGGATGCCGGTGCTGCAAACAACGACTGGTTGGGGTCGGGGTCGGTGGTGGGGTTTAGGGTGCGGGTACGGTTAGGGGTTGGGGTGAGGGGAGTCGTGGGTGGCTGTTGTGGTCGGGAAAGGCAGCATATACCCCTAAAAACGGACGGCAGGGCTTCTGCTACCGGACTGACCAAAAAACGCCCCGACACAGCCGAGACGACGAGACCACCTTCCACAAGGAAGCGCGTCTACTCTCGTCGTCGTGTCATAAACTGCTGTACACGGCGCGTTTGCTCGCCCGAACAAAACCGACATCATGATCGACAACCAAGCGCGGTTTCTCACCCTCGTCGGTGGGAGCCATCACCGGCATTTCCGAAGGCGCTGGTGGTGCGTCTACCGGGGAAGGCGTGGGAGTGTCTGCCGGAGCTGGCGTGGGGTCGTCGACCGGTGCAGCCGACGGGGGGTCTACCGGAGCAGCCGTGGGTGGGTCTACCGGAGCAGGCGTCGGCGGGTCTACCGGAGCTGGCGTGGGAGGGTCTACCGGAGCCGGCGTAGGTGGGTCGACCGGGGCAGGCGTGGGAGGGTCGACCGGTGCAGGCGTCGCGGGTCTCTCCGTGGGCATAACAACGGGCATTTCTGTCGTGGCCGGGGTCGGTGGCGGCGCTGAGCCGTCTGGATAAAACAGTGGGAGGCAGGCGAGCGGGGTGTGTAAGACAGGATGCGTTGGCCGCTTCCGATATGAAGCGCCATTGTTCCTATTCCTGATGTAAGGGACGTGCCGGCAGAGCCAGCAACGGATGGCTGTTCAGTTCGGAACAGGCAGTGAGTGGTGTGTACAAAATGGACCCACAGCCGTTCGCAGCGGGTCACAGCAGGAAGAGTTCGTCGTCTCGGGGCGGGCACATGTGCTGAACGAAATTTTCACAGCAACAGCAGCAGCAACGATGCGAACACCAACCTGGAGGAGCGGCGGCCCCGCGAGGGAGGGGGCACCGGTACATCGCACCATACAAGGGGGAGGGCCCAAATGACTTGAGACCCACGTGCGGATGGATGTTTGCGACTAGGCTGGCTATCTAGTCTAGTCAGACGGAAAAGCAAAAACAAGCAAGCCCCAAAAAATGAAAAAAAAGGCCTCCCTCACTGTCGACGTAGCAGGGCGCCGCGAGGGCTGTCGAGCAGAGCTCGCCGTACTCCTCGATTCGGACCGCGCAGCAGTTGTCCTCGCCCAGGCCGCCGCCGAACTCGGCGCAGCCGAAGCCGCCGCACGCCTCGCACTCCGCATGACAGCACGAATCGCCGGACTGGATGCCCGGGAAGCCGTTGGAGCACACTTCGCGGTAGGGGGGGAACAGACACGTGTACGAACGACGGGGGGGGGTGGCAAGACTGGGGGTTGAGCCAGAAAATCCCGCCGACAGCAGTTCAGAGACTTTCATTCGTCGAGAACGGGGTGCATTGTCCACAAGCGAGGGCGCAGAAGGGCGTGTGTGGCCCAGTTATTGAGTGCCTCGTGGTACACTATGGTGATATGCGCACAGACCAGGTACAAGCGTTTGGACAATGAAGTCACTATCTCGTTGGTCGACACGTACCAAAAGGTTTTCTACCGTGGTGTGTGAAGCTAGTTGCTTCCTCCCAAAAGGCTAGGCTAGGGTACCCTCGCTCCCAAAAGGCTAGGACAGGATACCCTCCCTCCCAAAAGGCTAGGCTAGGTTACCCTCCCTCCCAAAAGGCTAGGATAGGGTACCCTCCCTCCCAAAAGGCTAGGCTAGGGTACCGCCCCCACAGAGACAGGCTTACAACGACACCACTCACCGTCACCAGTGGGCTCAGAGACGGGCTCGGCAGTGGGGGCCATGACGGGCTCGGGAGTCGGAGCCATCGCCGGTTCAGCAGTCGGTGCCATGACGGGCTCGGGAGTCGGACCCATCGCCGGCATTTCGGTGGCGGGTGCTACGGTCGGCTCGGGCGTTTCTAGCATGAGCAAGGACGAGGAAACAGGGAAGAACGTGGCATACGTATGATGTCTGGGACCGAAAGAAAAAGCCATCCGTGTGACCCCCGAGGTACAAATACGGTGACGTCATGCGAGAACTTTCCGCGCCCTCATCTTGATTTTCCCGTCGGGAGCACCAAAACATTGACCGCCGCGAAAAGAGACGGGGGGGAAACAATATTCGAGAAAGCATTTGAAGATTTTTTCATTCGTGCTCCGCTAAGCAACAAGTCGCCAGACCTGGCTCTCGTCTCTGTACACGCCATAGCCCCAGCGGCAACCCACAACACCGCCGAATGAAAGAGCCGGGAACGAGAAAACTGGGAGACGTCAGAAATAACATTCGGGCAACATGCAAGCACGATTGACTCACCGTCTTCGTCATCGTACCAGAACGAGAACGAGAAAGACATGGAGGGCGAAGGGGTCTCGGTGGGCGAAAGTACGTCTGCGTGTTTGGGCGGAAACAAGCGGGGGCAGCGGGGAGAAGTTGCATGAGTATCAGCAGAGGGGCAGAGCAGAGGCGGAGGGCGAGGGACACCGGGGAAAAAAAGGGCGCGAGATGAGGCAACACAAGGCGTTCGTGAGAGAGGGCATTGTTGGACGAGTCGTTGTTCGTGTGGCGACCACGGTGGATTGCACGATTGGTTTACTTGTTGTTGGAGGTGACGGAAAAGAAGGTTCGACAACTCAAGCCGATGGTACCGCACGTTGGCGCTGAGCTAGCGGACGGGCTTCTTCTCTTCGTCTAATTTGGCGCTTGTTCTCCCAAATCAACACCCTTCGGGGGAAAAAGCTGATGAAAAGAAACACAAAAGAATCACGGCAAGAGGAACACGTGGAGGATGAAGAGGGCTGCGTTGTCAAGACGCACCGTCGAGGACACAGGGGGCTTCTTCCGACACGCTGCACGACACTCCGGCAGATTGAACGTCCAACTCGCAGCAGGACTCGGCGCCGTATTCGGGCAGGCCCACGGTGGAGCATCCCTCGCCGCCGCACTGCGTGCAGTTGATTGGGCAACAGACGGTGCCGTCGGAGGACTCGATTCCGGGGATGCCGGTGCTGCACACAATGACTGGATGGGGTCGTGGGTAGGGTAGGGTGGGGTGGGGTGGGGTCAGGGTTTGGGTTGGGGTGAGGGGTGTCGTGAGGACAAACTAAATAGGGGGCTCGATGCCAGAGAAAATGCTGCCGTCGTGTGTGATGGTTGTGGTGGAGAATGGCAGCATCCGGAAAGGGACGAGCAAAACCACCATGGCAAAAAAAAGTGAAGAAACATTTCGGATACAAAAGAAGAGTGGTGAGAGAGGAAAATGAAGGCGCAGCAGCGTGTACGCAGGGAAACGAAATGAACGGACATTGGCAAATGAATATCGTGAGACTTGCACCCAGTGATTGTGAAGCAAGAAGTGACCGCGAAGGACGCGTAACTTTCAGGGCATCTCCTAACCGCCGGCCAAGTATCCGACAAAGCCGAAAAGAGGAGATCGCTTCAAATGGAAGTGCGTTGAATCTGGTCGTCGTATCGTACAATAAGCGTACATCACTCGCCTGAGCAAACGCGACATCTACATCGACAATCATGAGCTTCTCACCCTCATCAGTGGGGGCCATCACCGGCATTTCCGAGGGCGCCGGCGGGTCCACTGGAGCTGGTGTGGGAGGGTCTACCGGAGCTGGCGTGGGAGGGTCGACCGGAGCTGGCGTGGGAGGGTCGACCGGTGCAGGCGTCGCGGGTCTCTCCGTGGGCATAACAACGGGCATTTCTGTCGTGGCCGGGGTCGGTGGCGGCGCTGAGCCGTCTGGATAAAACAGTGGGAGGCAGGCGAGCGGGGTGTGTAAGACAGGATGCGTTGGCCGCTTCCGATATGAAGCGCCATTGTTCCTATTCCTGATGTAAGGGACGTGCCGGCAGAGCCAGCAACGGATGGCTGTTCAGTTCGGAACAGGCAGTGAGTGGTGTGTACAAAATGGACCCACAGCCGTTCGCAGCGGGTCACAGCAGGAAGAGTTCGTCGTCTCGGGGCGGGCACATGTGCTGAACGAAATTTTCACAGCAACAGCAGCAGCAACGATGCGAACACCAACCTGGAGGAGCGGCGGCCCCGCGAGGGAGGGGGCACCGGTACATCGCACCATACAAGGGGGAGGGCCCAAATGACTTGAGACCCACGTGCGGATGGATGTTTGCGACTAGGCTGGCTATCTAGTCTAGTCAGACGGAAAAGCAAAAACAAGCAAGCCCCAAAAAATGAAAAAAAAGGCCTCCCTCACCGTCGACGTAGCAGGGCGCCGCGAGGGCTGTCGAGCAGAGCTCGCCGTACTCCTCGATTCGGACCGCGCAGCAGTTGTCCTCGCCCAGGCCGCCGCCGAACTCGGCGCAGCCGAAGCCGCCGCACGCCTCACACTCCGCATGACAGCACGAATCGCCGGACTGGATGCCCGGGAAGCCGTTGGAGCACACTTCGCGGTAGGGGGGGAACAGACACGTGTACGACCGACGGGGGGGGAGGGGCAAGACTGGGGGTTGAGCCAGAAAATCCCGCCGACAGCAGTTCAGAGACTTTCATTCGTCGAGAACGGGGTGCATTGTCCACAAGCGAGGGCGCAGAAGGGCGTGTGTGGCCCAGTTATTGAGTGCCTCGTGGTACACTATGGTGATATGCGCATCAACAAGGTACAAGCGTTTGGACAATGAAGTCACTATCTCGTCGGTCGACACGTACAAAAAGGTTTTCTACCGTGGTGTGTGAAGCTAGTTGCTTCCTCCCAAAAGGCTAGGCTAGGGTACCCTCCCTCCCAAAAGGCTAGGCTAGGTTACCCTCCCTCCCAAAAGGCTAGGCTAGGTTACCCTCCCTCCCAAAAGGCTAGGATAGGGTACCCTCCCTCCCAAAAGGCTAGGCTAGGGTACCGCCCCCACAGAGACAGGTTTACAACGACACCACTCACCGTCACCAGTGGGCTCAGAGACGGGCTCGGCAGTGGGGGCCATGACGGGCTCGGGAGTCGCAGCCATCGCCGGCATTTCGGTGGCGGGTGCTGCGGTCGGCTCGGGCGTTTCTAGCATGAGCAAGGACGAGGAAACAGGGAAGAACGTGGCATACGTATGATGTCAGGGACCGAAAGAAAAAGCCATCCGTGTGACCCCCGAGGTACAAATACGGTGACGTCATGCGAGAACTTTCCGCGCCCTCATCTTGATTCTCCCGTCGGGAGCACCAAAACATTGACCGCCGCGAAAAGAGACGGGGGGGAAACAATATTCGAGAAAGCATTTGAAGATTTTTTCATTCGTGCTCCGCTAAGCAACAAGTCGCCAGACCTGGCTCTCGTCTCTGTACACGCCATAGCCCCAGCGGCAACCCACAACACCGCCGAATGAAAGAGCCGGGAACGAGAAAACTGGGAGACGTCAGAAATAACATTCGGGCAACATGCAAGCACGATTGACTCACCGTCGTCGTCATCGTACCAGAACGAGAACGAGAACGAGAAAGACATGGAGGGCGAAGGGGTCTCGGTGGGCGAAAGTACGTCTGCGTGTTTGGGCGGAAACAAGCGGGGGCAGCGGGGAGAAGTTGCATGAGTATCAGCAGAGGGGCAGAGCAGAGGCGGAGGGCGAGGGACACCGGGGAAAAAAAGGGCGCGAGATGAGGCAACACAAGGCGTTCGTGAGAGAGGGCATTGTTGGACGAGTCGTTGTTCGTGTGGCGACCACGGTGGATTGCACGATTGGTTTACTTGTTGTTGGAGGTGACGGAAAAGAAGGTTCGACAACTCAAGCCGATGGTACCGCACGTTGGCGCTGAGCTAGCGGACGGGCTTCTTCTCTTCGTCTAATTTGGCGCTTGTTCTCCCAAATCAACACCCTTCGGGGGAAAAAGCTGATGAAAAGAAACACAAAAGAATCACGGCAAGAGGAACACGTGGAGGATGAAGAGGGCTGCGTTGTCATGACGCACCGTCGAGGACACAGGGGGCTTCTTCCGACACGCTGCACGACACTCCGGCAGATTGAACGTCCAACTCGCAGCAGGACTCGGCGCCGTATTCGGGCAGGCCCACGGTGGAGCATCCCTCGCCGCCGCACTGCGTGCAGTTGATTGGGCAACAGACGGTGCCGTCGGAGGACTCGATTCCGGGGATGCCGGTGCTGCACACAATGACTGGATGGGGTCGTGGGTAGGGTAGGGTGGGGTGGGGTGGGGTCAGGGTTTGGGTTGGGGTGAGGGGTGTCGTGAGGACAAACTAAATAGGGGGCTCGATGCCAGAGAAAATGCTGCCGTCGTGTGTGATGGTTGTGGTGGAGAATGGCAGCATCCGGAAAGGGACGAGCAAAACCACCATGGCAAAAAAAAGTGAAGAAACATTTCGGATACGAAAGAAGAGTGGTGAGAGAGGAAAATGAAGGCGCAGCAGCGTGTACGCAGGGAAACGAAATGAACGGACATTGGCAAATGAATATCGTGAGACTTGCACCCAGTGATTGTGAAGCAAGAAGTGACCGCGAAGGACGCGTAACTTTCAGGGCATCTCCTAACCGCCGGCCAAGTATCCGACAAAGCCGAAAAGAGGAGATCGCTTCAAATGGAAGTGCGTTGTATCTGGTCGTCGTATCGTACAATAAGCGTACATCACTCGCCTGAGCAAACGCGACATCTACATCGACAACCATGAGCTTCTCACCCTCATCAGTGGGGGCCATCACCGGCATTTCCGAGGGCGCCGGCGGGTCCACTGGAGCTGGCGTGGGAGAGTCTACCGGGGCTGGCGTGGGGTCGTCGACCGGAGCTGGCGTGGAGGGATCGACCGGCGCTGGCGTCGGCGGGTCTACCGGCGCAGGCGTCGGCGGGTCTACCGGAGCTGGTGTGGGAGGGTCTACCGGAGCTGGCGTGGGAGGGTCGACCGGAGCTGGCGTGGGAGGGTCGACCGGAGCTGGCGTGGGAGCGGCTACCGGAACTGGCGTCGTAGGCGTCGTGTACGGGGTCGGTGGCGGCGCTGACCCGTCTGAGGAAAGGCGGAGGAAGGCGGAGGCAGGCGAGAGGCGGGTTGGGCGGCGTAGGTGGGTATGACAACATGCGTACTGCAGGAGATGCCTTTGTCTCCCGGTTCCCTAGATGTATTGTTGTGAAGTTCGGGGAAGGCCCGAGCCTTAGTTAGAAGAAAACGACATTGTGATTTTTTCCTCGGGAAGAATTGTTTTTATCATTGATGCGGCATCGTTGGTCAGCAGTACATCCGTGACATGGTCAACATCTGCCGTGAAGTTATGAGCTTGTTGGGGGCGGGCGGATAGTAGCACGGTAGTAAAGGGGGAAGGGGTAAAGAGGAAGGGACAAGACTGGAATGAACAGGCCAAAAGCAGTGAGTATGGCAGAGATACCGATTGGTCGTCGACAGTACAGTAGAACGCTCTTCTGTATGGTTCACTTCACGGGTCGTCAATTTCCCACAAAAACCGGCGTAAATGGTTCGGCATAAACAAGCGCGCCCCTTCGTTCACAAAAAAAAAACGCAAACAACTGTAAGAGCTCACCGGACGTGAGGGAGATGTCGGAGCACGCCCAGAACTCTTCCGGGTAGGCCCCTTCCTCGCCGCAGATGTAGCGGTTGAGCTCGATCCAGTCCGACTTGTTGGGGGCGCAGGTGCTAGGCCACGAGGGAGGGTCGAACTCGTCGTACCCGATGTGCTTGCACGAGTTTCCGGTGTCTTGAAACAACACATTGTGGACAATCGTGTTTCAGGGGGGGGCGAGCAAGCGTAAGGGCCGGGGTGGTCGTGGGTATTGGGTGAACGCCGAGTAGTACAACACATGCATGCGTCTTCCGAAGTAGGAGTTGCCAAGCGTTGCATGGGAAATGATAGAAGGTTAAAAGACGTTACGGAAAATCTTGGGGTTTCTTCGAGATTTGCTGAGGGGGTAAGAGCTGTGGGAGAAGCGGGCTAACGACTCTCCGGGTTTTCGGTTTCATACGCTCTCGGTTTCATACGCTCGTACGCATGGGGAAGCGATGACGAGAGAAAGCTTAAACGAAACAGCGAGGAGCGCGTTTCGGTAGAACTATGTTCTGCACCGGTTAGAAATCCCGGAAAAAGACTACGCACGCATCCATCGGCAAACGCGTACACTCAAAACTATTTCACTACTTAATCCAACTCGACGACAGCGACATGCGCGTTGCGCGCACCCTGTCAATAGTCGGCGCGACTGAATAACTGAACCTGAAAAAAAAAAGAAACACTGAAAGAAACTCGGCGGAAATGAGAGCAGTGGCACACTCAACAGTACACCATCTGCAAGACACAGCGGTCGCACTCGATGTCCGGGAGCACGTAGCGCATCTTGATGTTGTAGCCCTTGGGTGCCCCCTCGGGCGAGCCCTGTTCTGTCTCCCCCGCGCGGCACTCTGGGTCCACGTAGTAGCGGCCCGGGTAGTTGGGGTCGATCGGACTGGCGTCGCCGTCGTCTGCGGCGCGGGTTAGCGGGTACCGGTTGAAGCACTCCTGGGTGGGCACGCCGTCCGGGTCGTCCATCTCGTCCGCGTTGCACAAGAAGAACTCGCAGTGTCCCTACAGATCGCGGACGCGAGGCACGTTTAGTGGGGAGAAAAAGTAACGTTGGTGTTGGTGGGGGGGGGGGCGGACTGCGGCCGGCCACGAGTGAGTGCGCTCCGGAACGCCTACAACATTAAATAAAAATGATGCTGGATAATAGGAGTACTTCGAAGTAGAGTGTTGCGTTATCAAACATTATATTCATTCAGCGTTAATTTAACCGTTGTACAGACCACAACGGCTCTCGCTCGTTGCCGTTGAAGTCCTCTTGACCCAAACGCTTACCGTTGTTGTACAGACTACTGCTGCTTCAACTATCTACGACCCGGTGGAGGGGGCGAGGATGGGAATACTACTAATATGTTGGATTCACTGAAACTACCCCAACCAAAATACAAAAAAGTTCGGATGACTGGATGCTTTATTGTTGAGCAGACGACGACACAAGACGATAAGACCAACTTGATACCGGGCAATGGCACTTTTGTAGAAATAATTGACCAACCAGTAGACCAACAACTGTTTTTCATCAGAGTTCGAAACTTCGCACTAACACATGGTAGTTCGCATGCACATATCACCACCAAGTACCCGTAGTGGCGCCATCAATATTTAGATCCCCTCTGTGCCTCGCGATAGGACAAGTGGGTGGTAGAGAAAACGGAAACTGCTGTGGACTACGACGAATAAATGTGGAGATATGCATACAGATTTACAGATGCATATACCGGTACATAGTCCTTGAAATCCGCTCCAACGGTTATATCCTTTTCACGAACAGAAATCTGACTTAGACTAGAGAGATAGGGCGATAGGCACCCGCTTTTTGAGTCCGTGATTCGATTTTCATGGTAGGAATTCACTGATACACCTGCATTGCCGACCGCCGAAGAAAGGGAACCCTACTCAGCGTGAAAACATCGCCGGTTGCCTCGCTGCGGGTTGAGACTTGATCCTCCTCTCACGTGCTCACATGCTCAGCAGCAAAGCTTGCATGGCATGTGTAGTCTATCTAGTGAGAGGAGGTTCGTTGCGCTGAAACGCGCTATTGGGGGGCTGAATGAATATTCAATCAACCCCATGGCAACAAACGACTACGATTTCTTCGAGCTCTACATTATTAGACGTGGATCCCCGTAATGATGGATTCCAACGCTGGGGCAATGACGGCAGTGGACAAAAAAGCACTTCCAAAATCTCCGCGTTCGTCGGAAATGCAATGGAATGAAATGCCTGTCTACATGTCTACATGTGCTTCGTTCGAGTATTCACAACAAAGATAAAGTATCATAGTCTATGTGTGTATGTGTGTGTGGAGCAGCCGTAGTCCCGCCGATTTCAACCTTTCACAATGTACGCAAATGTAGGATCTCAGCTGCAACGTGTGACAAGGGGCTCACCCAGTGGTAGGCGTTCATGATTATGTCCATCTCAAGGACCTCTCCGCTCTTGAACGAACCGAGGACATCCCATCCGATGTTGGCGGTGCTGTAGACGTTGCTTCCTTCATCCGCGTTCTGCGCATACGACATAAAGTTTGGGATGTGAAACAAACCCAGCACTCATCATGCGTATATAAGTTCACACAACAATATCAATGCTCTCGTAGCAACCACCTCTTGTGCTGAGAGGAACCGACGACAATTTCGGGCACCTGCTCCGGGTCGCCGCAGATGCCGTGGCGTTTCGCGATCTCGTCCGTCTCGAGGTAGTTACCGTTGTCGGCAAAATCGCCGAAGTATAGGGGGTACTCGTCCCCTCCCCCATACTCGTTCAGGACGGCAGGATCCGTCTTGGCTTTGGCTCGCTCCTTAACGTAGTCAGGCCCGCGTGCATTGTAGCAATGCGGGCAGTAGTCGATTCCCGGGAAGTCCCTATGTACGTACAGCAAGAGGGCGGGGGCCGGGTGCGTGAGGCCTCCCACGTGAGGTGCAGGCAGGCAACTGCTTGGATCTTGACGATCTTGCCTCGCACAAGCACTACGTTGTACTATGGTATACACAAGTCTGCAGGGGCGTTCGGAGTTGTTGTTTCGTTCACACATCCGAGCGTAAATGAACGCGACGAAGCGTGCGCATCTCGCATTGCTGGTGGTCGTGCCGTTAGAGCGTCACATACGAGGAGTGGTGCTTAGAACAACGCCCTCAACTTTGGAGAAAAGCCAGCAGAACAGCCAAAGCTTCCAAACCAAAAAAACAGCAGTCTATCGTGCAAGCTTGTACAATATCTTGATGAAAAAACAACCACGGAAAACGGCCGTGGTGAGGTACAGAGTAGTAGTGAAGCAACGCCGCTCGCTCGCTGCTGTGTGCAGACAGAAAGACACGCACAAGCCACAGCGAGAGGGCTCCACACACGCACTTACCATTCTTTGAATACGGGGCCATAGCTGTACTGGCGGGAGATGGGATACATCTGCATGATGTGACCGTGAGCATGATTTGCCAGTAGAGTTGCTGCGGCTACAGCCGCGGCAAAGGCAGAGGAGCGCTGAATCATGATGACGGGCGCAGTCCGGTCGTCGTAGGCCACCAGGCCCTCTTTGTCCGACGAAAATGCTGCCAGCAGCAGGGAGGGGAACGTTGCAGTGCGGTGTGAAGGGTGTGTCAAGGTTCAAGGAAGAGGGTTGGATATGCTTACGTGTGGCAGCAAGCAGTGAGATTCGGAGTGTTTTTTTTTTCAAAAATGGAACAGTTTTCAGCATATATCTATTCGTTCGATGGATAGCTCTGCGAACTTTCCAACGGCCAACGCCTCCAAATGAGAAATGTTGCTCCGCCGTGTCTCTCAAACTTAGCGCACCTCGCTCGAACAGACAGCAACGTTCGGTTGTTGTTATTGTTGTTGTTGTTGTTCTCACATTAGTCTAGCTCTATAGTCCACACAAGAATGGGGAGCCCGTGGTCGCAAAACCCGGCACATACGACGCCGCGGGGATATAAAACAAGAATGGCGGAGTACAAACCACTCGGAAAAGAAACAAAATGATAAAAAGAAACGAACAGCTACCGACTGACCGGTCGAGAAAAGGAGAGATCGGTGTTGTTGGCCGTTTGGTGGTATGGTGCTGTGGCATCTCCGTATCTATCTCCAGCACTCTCTGTGCAGTACGGCAGTTCAGTATAGTAAGATATCCTACAAGACTAGGGTATACGTTCTCCCCCGGCGCGATGAACCGACCCCCTCCTACGGCTGTAAGTCTGGCTTGTTCCGTGTGGTGAACGCGAACGGGCGCTCCACTTATTTATAGCGAGATGTTTCATTATTACCCAAAAGTCGAAAATTTAGCTTTTCCAATCTGTCCACAACCAACGGTATCCTGGAGCCAAAATACATGTAGCGCCTTGTATTGTCATCACATATGCCACCAATAATTTTTTGGCCGAAGTGGTAGTCTGATGCGTGTAACTTCGCGTACTGTAGTGGACTACAGTACAGCAGTACACTCTACAGTCGTGCCCGTCTTAAACATGCACATAGCGGTTGGTGGTGGAACGAGATGGCTCTTCCTGCCGTCGAAAAAAAGATTCGTTCGACCATGTTCGACAGAACATCAAGCAAGCCCCCAAACAAACGTTGCTGCTGTTGTGCGTGTGCTGCTGTTTTCGCGGTTCCGTCAGACACCATGTGATTAATGACACATCCATGGAGTACGAAGCAAAGTAGTACTTGTTGTTGGGATGTTTGTCGGATGGAGAGGAGGACGGAAAAGGAAGTGTTGCAACTACTTGGTGGCTGCACCATAGTCTAATAGTACGTACGGCGCGTCCGCTGTTGTTTTCTCGCGGCATCATTTATCTTGACAGCTTGAGTGACGGCCCCACAACAGACAGTATGATTTGGTCTGTGATCCTAGCTGCTGTCCTTTGCGGCTTTGGCACCGAGCACCGACCCGCGACCACACGGCACCGCCTTGGCCGGAGCGCCGTATTTCGATGTATTCAAGACGGGGGGGGGGGGAGACGTGAAATGAGCCAAAGCTGGACTGCAGACACCAGCAGTCTTCACGAGCCAAAAAACTAGCCTACCCGAGCTCTACCCGAGGGAACAGCTCCTGAGCGTACTGTACTAACGAACCAACCAGCATGGAGTAAACGCGGCGCGTTGTGCTCCGATGGATGCGGGGCTACAGCAATCCTGTCCCCTTATTATTCTCACATATGTACGGCCATCACCTTCCTCAACTCCCTTTTCAAAATATTGGAACCACGCCGTTCATTTCTTCCTAATATATCCCAGTCTAAATCCTATATGTTACTGGGGTTGGGTGGTAAAGGCCCCTCGCAGACACAGCGCGGACAGCGACACACACACAGCGGACACACCACACGTGCTGCTGATGGAGGGTGGCAAACGAGATGACACCCTGTTTCCGATGACAGACCAGGGAATTTCTTCACAGCCAGCAGCAACAGATGCTTGGACGAGAGTAGCACAGAACAGCATCATCGGAGGTGGGTGCTGCTACAAATGACCAATACAGCAGTCAGTTTTGGTCTACGAGGAAGGGCAGCCAGTCTCGTTTGTCCTTCGTGTGGTATGCTACAACAATGTTCTTGTTGTTCGACGCTGAGCGTGTTCTTGTGGTCCATCTTCTCTATTTCTCTCTCCCGTTCCCCAAGGCTCGCCCCGCAAGCTTTGCGGCTGTGGAGTTCTCTGTTCTGTTTGAAATCTTGGACCTACACATGTTTGACTGATGGTCCAAACTGCCTGCTGCGCGGTGTGATACTGACTGGTGTTTGCACACGAACCAGCACCGCAAAGGGAGTGCTGTACTCCCCCCGCTGCAGATAACGGTGTTGCGAGGTGCACGAGGTGCACTGGAGACAGGGCGGTGGCGTAAATCTATGCGGCGACTGTACTCTGCACCGTCTAGGCCGCTAGGCCGATTGCCTACTTCGTCGCCTGGCTGAATCCCCCCGTTTTGCGGTACACCCCATCAAAGCCTGTAGATACCGAAAGACGGGCAGTAATTGGTAGTCATCGGTGACAACAAGTGCTTCACACACCCTGAATCAATTTTGGAAGCTTGATTACGCCGCAGATTACTCCGCAGCAGCGCGCCGAGAATGGCGGGCGTTGGAAACCGCCTCGTCGAGCGCTCTCCGAAAACATGTCGTTTGGTTCTACATCTTGTTCGTCATGGAGTACACAGCAGTAGTCGACCTTTGAGAATCGATCCATTGGGGGGGGGGTGATATCTAACGTCACCCCAAGGTATGGTTTCTGAAACTACGGTGACTCACAACTACGTATAGATACAGAGTTCTGCAGATTACGGCTGTACCGGTGACTCCTCACCCGGAGTTTGTCTTTGCCGGTGCGGTCTGCAGTCTAGCATGTGTAGACCAATTGCCATTTTGCAATATCTCCCCCGGTCACACATTGTAGGCCGGCGGAGCGGGACATCTACGCATTTATTTTATACTTCCTTCTGAAGTACGCATTTATTTGCGTAGTCGCGAACTTGACGATCCAAGCAGCGGAGAGTAAATAGACAAACGGTTTCAAGACTCTTCTTTTAGGCCCGTCGCCCGTCCCCCACATCCCTCCCCACACCCCACACCCCCGTATGTGGTTTCTGCTGTACGCAACACAGCCACGAGCGGCGCTGTCTTCGGAACCGTGTTAGCGACGTACCGCGGACATTCCGTGCCGTTCTACGCGGCGAGCATGGGCACAAACTACGCCCTGGCCTCTCTAGCGTTCTTCGGTGAGTCTTTCTTCTGTTGAGAAGGCAAGCCTTACCTCGCATTGTTTGGATACTGTACACAATACAATCGCTGAAAGACTACTGCTGAACATACCAGGCCGAGGTACTACCACAGCAGTCAGTCGAAGATATGTGTTGAACGATGTCTCCGCACTTGTCGTCACAACAAGTGTAGACGAAGCTGGTTGCACGCATCCACCGCCAACCCTACCTCGTGTGTTGCTCATTTTGGACATGATGCGGGGTACACGGGTGCGCAAGCGCCGAGGCCGCGTATCTGGCAACGCGTGTATATGTAGTTACAAAACAGTCCTAGATTTTCTACGTGGTAGCACCCGTGTATTTTCCGCATATCGTATTTCCAAGCAGGCGAGGAAATCACAGTAACGCTATTTTGACGGGGGGGGGGGGGACTCCGTGCCAGGTACCGAGGCGTTGATCCGAAAAGCTCGCGGGGACAAGCGAGACGCGCTGGGCTACGCCGGCGCCGGCCTGACGACGGGCATGGCCATGACTTTGCCGATCGGTGAGATGTTGTGTAGTACGTCGAGGTTCATCATAACATGCATTTTATCGGCGCTGGAACCGTCTCGTCAAGAGAGGGAGGGAGGGAGGGAGACAGAGACAGACTGACAGACAGACAGACAGACAGACAGACAGAGAGAGAGAGAGAGAGAGAGAGAGAGAGAGAGAGAGAGAGAGAGAAGGGGGGCTCCGAATATGTGCCGTCTTGTGAATGTAGACATCCTCTTCCGTCTTTGAGAAATCGAGCTCCGGGGGTATGTTATGCCACCTACGAAAGAAGAAACAACGTGCATCACGGGGGGTGACATTTTCTCAGCGTTAAGAAGCGCAGACACCAGCACTTCAACCAAGACGAACTAAAAATATCTTGAAAATTGTCGCACAGGGGGGCGATACCAGGCGCTGGTGGCCGGGATTGCGATGGCAGGGGTGGGGTACGGGGGCTTTTACGCGCACCGGAGAGCAAGAGCTTATCTGGACGAGCTGGGGCAGGAGGAGCTCAGGAGAAGAGATAAATTAACATCGAAAGGGCCCAAACAGGCGGACGGCGGGCCCAGTAAACGCTACCAGGAGCAGCGATAGCGCACCTAACAGAAAAAAAAATTGGACGGGGGTTGCTACGAGCTTTTGTGGATATTGCGTTTGGGTGTGTATTGACATCGCAAATGTCTTGAGTTGAGGCGGGGCGAAAGGCGGAGAGAGGTAGGTCATGACGGGTTTGAGGAAAGAGTATTCGTTTGTGTTGTACAATTCATTTGATTTTAACGTTTTCTTCAGTACGAAACTGGCGTTCGGTGCGTGTCATCTGTGTGCGGTAAGGAGAACCCTGCTGCTTAGATTTCTAGACCTGAGTCGGTGAGATCAGGAGCCGACCAGCTCTCTAACATGCTCCACAGGCAACCGGTTAAGTGCCTTCCACTTGTACTCTTTCAGCTACATTGTCGGGTGCGTAGTGCCTTTTGCACTGGTTCCCGCTGGAGTCATATCGGGTGGGGCTTTCTCCGGCGGTACTCCAACGGCGGTGTTGCTTGCAGGCCTGCCATATCCGAAACCTTGGTGGATGTTCTTTTTTGTGTCATTTTCGTATACTGGTACCTTTTTTTGGGTAAGTTAGCCCGTGACCACGGGAATCGACCGCGTCAAGTGTTAGACTATTATAGTACGGATAGAAGAAGACACTGGGCAGAGAGAACGGAACGGTTTTTAATGTGAAGACAACAACAACAACAACAACAACAACAACAACAACAACAACAACAGCATCGAATGCCGTTGCATGAGATCGATCCTCTCGGCCAGTTTGGAGTTGCAACTCCACCTTGTTCTTATTGCTCCCCCTCTGTCTTGGAAGAAGTCAGTGTCAGAAACATGTGCGCACGCTTGCGATCAACCCTCTTCGTGTGTACAGGTACAGAGCGGCTTCAACAAATTAGCTGTAGTTAATTGCTGCGGCACTCGAGGTATTTTTGTTTTTTTCGGAGGTGTGGAGTTCCTTGGAACTACAGTCACGCGATGCTGCGAGCAATGTTCGACAAAAAAGGTGCAGGCGGTTTATTGGGTACACGGCCTGAACAATTTTTTCATGGCATCCTCCGAACCCGACACTGAATCTCTGGCTCTGGCTCTCTCTCGCTTCTGACATATACACATGTCTCACAACGCACACAACAACAGCAGCGTACAGCGCCTTGTTTTCCTCGCCGCTGGTGCTGATGCAGTGTTTCTTCCTTGTATTTTTGCGGCGCTCGTCGCGTGAATCGAGTAGTCATCCCAACAAAAAATGGCTTTCTTACGGCCGATAATGTTTTTCAGTATTTTTTGTCGTTCCCTCTCGTTTGTACCAATACCGCCACCATTCTCCCCCCTACTAAACACACTTGCTCTGTCCACAATCAAAACCCCACCGGTCCTTCCCTGCAGACGGACAGACAGGCACACGTGGCTTTTATTCGCGCAAACGCTCGTAAAGGCGCTTCAGCAGAACCACGCTGCTGATACGCATGCATACGAACCATCACCGACACCCCTGTTTGGATGATACCCGACAGGCAGAATCGTCTCCTCCAAAAAACACCCCTTGCCTCCTCTCCTCAACTAACGAAAAAAGCACACAAAACAGAGACAAGACAAGCATAGTGAAAAAAAAAACGATGATGGTGTACATCAATCACGAACAACAATAGAGCACATTGTTCTCACACACGAAACAGCAACAACAGCAAACCGGCGGGCGGTCTTCACTTATGCGCAACAAACCGCTAACCCCCCACACCCACCCCGCAGAAAAAAAAAAAAAACGCTCCTAAATATCATATATGCATATCATAAATAACAATATCTGGGTTCGTTCGTTTACCGGATCGCGACGAGTGCT